CAGATTCCACGAGGCAAAGTAAGGGCGTAGTCAAGATGTTTACAACGTGGATTTCGAATCTACTCAATTACATGCACCTGATCAGCCTTTGTTTACGTGCTGCACTCTCACAGCCCATATCACTTAGCCATGTGGGACCACAGGTTCGGACCATAGGTTCAAGCTTACAGCCATAGCCCCGGCTATAATTGTGCTGGGACTTGCAGGTGGTTTTGCCACGAGAGGATCGTGCCCTCTCATTAGTCCCAGGCTTGAACCTGTCGAACGCTATAGCCACTTTCCTCACTAAAGCATGTCTGTGTCTCTCCCCGGCCTCACACTATGTTCACAGCTATCACAAAATAGGTCATTTTCTGTGGCCCTCACTTTTGTGTCTCCCCAGAGAACAGCCTGGACTCCACAGATGAGAGCTCTCCTTCAGTCATTGAAGAAAAGAAAAAGAAACATAAGAAAAAAGGCAAAGGTACCTCTGGAGCCGGGAGCTGAAGTCCCAGGTGGTGGGGGGCACACTCTCTCCCTCAGTGGCAGATACCTTCAGACCTAGTCTTCAGTGTGAAGGGCAGAGGCCATGCTTCTGTTTCCATGAGGAGAAGGGTTACTGAGACCTGAAATAATGGGAACATAAAGTAGGATGTGTTCCTCCAGGAATGGGAACAGCTCCATATGGCTCCACCAATAGCAGTTCTACAAAATCACCCAGGTGACCACATCCCAAGTCTTTCTCCCACTGTCTTTATCTGTAGGGCTTTCAACCGCAAGGTTGTCACATGGTCACAAACTGGCTGCTGCAGATGCAGCCATCACATCTCATTCCGGGAGGGAGAAGGATTGAAGAGAAGGGCAGAACTGCCTGCCTGCCACTTTAGCCCTCCCTCCCTGGAAAAAGACCCTTCCCAGAATATCCACCCAACAATTTCTCACTACTTGTTGGGGGGGGGGGGGAGGGGGCGGGGGAGTTACAGGGCCATTAGGATCTGCAAGGGAGGCTGGGAGTATAGCTTTTCAGCTAGGCACATGGCTGCCATCTATTAGGAAGAAGGGTAGGCAGCTAGCTGCATATGCCTCATCCACTGAGCCCCTGCTCTGTCACTCTGCACCCTGGCTTCCAGGACTCCCGCCTGGTTTCTGTGCTGCCCCACCCCACCCCACCTCACCTCCAAGACTCCTGGGCTTACAGGCCTGCCTGTCCGGTCTTCCCGCAGAGTTGTGCAGATGTGAACATGTTCCCTGCACCTGTCCTTCACAGGCCAGCTCCCACTTCTCAGCCCACCCCGCCCCCATTTCCTCTTTTAATTATTAAAATCCCACCCTAGCTGGTTTGGCTCAGTGGATAGAGCTTCTGTCTGCAGACAGCAGGGTCCCAAGTTCGATTTCGGTCAAGGGCACATGCCCTGGTTGTGGGCTCGATCCCCAGTGGGTGGCATGCAGGAGGCAGCCGAGCAGTGATTCTCCTCATTGATGTTTCTATCTCTCCCTCTCCCTTCCTCTCTGAAATCAATAAAAATATATTTTTTTAAAAATAAAATAAAATCCCAACCTGCCCACAAGTAGAGACTAAAGCCCAGTGAACTCACATGAACTCACATGCCTATCACCAGATTGGGCAGTGGGCAAGATTTTGCCACTTTTGCTTCACCTATCCCTTTTCTCCTTTTCTTTTCAGTCTTTGACAAAATATAGGTGGCCCCAAAAAATGTATACACACACTTTGAATGATTACGAAGGCGGTGTTTATTAAAATACATGTCATTTTCAAAATTGAGCTATCAGCTGTTAAAGTGTATGTACATTTTTGGGGGGATACCTTGTATTTTAAAGTAAAATCCAGATGTGTCATTTCATCCCTGTATACCTCAATGTGCATTTTTCAAACACAGGAACATTTTCTTACAAGCCCACAATGAAGTTAACCAGACCACTGTCAGATTTACCCAATTGTCTAAGAAATGTCTCCCCCCAGAAGATTTCTTTTAATCAGGATTCAAATGAGATTGGAATATCTTCGGTCGCTTTTGATCTAGCACAGCCACTCCCCCACGACCTTACATTTTCTGTGCCTTGAGTTGTTGAAAAACTGGTGTTAATTATCCTGTAGAATGTCCTTTATGGTGGCTCTGCTTCCTGGTGCTGTCGTTGTAATGACAAGAACATCTCTGTTCCCCATATTTCTTCTAATTGGACACTAGATGTTTGATAGGATGGATCCATGTCCCTCTGTGTCCACAGACTCCTTCCTAGGTGGGCTGTGTGCTTCCTGCCCCCTTTCACTAGAAGCCCACACACCCAGCTGCCTCCCTGTTGGCCAAGCTCCAATGGTAGGTGCAGTGTTAGCCGCCTGACCCTCCATCACAGCTCCCCCTCAGCCATTCACCCAATAGTTTCTTCTGCTTATGGGTGCTTGTCCCCTCACGTAAGGGTGAGGGCCCTGGGTTTTGTATTTGTTTTGTTTCTTCACTGAGATATAATTAATATACAGTGAAAAGAACAAATCTCAAGTACACAGTTTGATAAATTTTTTTAGTTTTATTGCTTTTTAGAGAGGAAGGGGGGAGAGAGAGAGAGACATCAGTGTGAGAGAGAAACATCGATTGGCTGTCTCCAGCATGGACCCCAACTGGGAACCAAACCCACAACCTGGGTATATGCTCTGACTGGGATCGAACCCACCACCTTTTAGTGTACAGGAAGACGCTCCAATCCACTGGGCTGCACCAGCCAGGGCCAGTTGTAAATTTTGACAGATGTATACAACCTCTTACCCTCCACCCATTCACCATCTGGAGCATTTCCATCTGCTCAGCTCTCTTTCCCCCAAAGGCAGCTGTCTGTCAGGGAATCTGCTATCAAGGAGTCACTTTATTCGATCTCGGGCCTCACATGTATGGAACCACTCAGTGCTCCTTTGATCTGGCTTTCTTGACTTGCCATCATGTCTGTGAGACACATGCCGCGGGCGTCCCTGCTCTGTTGCTATGTGTATTCTGTGCATGCATATGCCAGCAATGATGATTCTCTCTAGAATCGAAGCACATTTGGGTGGTTTCTGTGGATTTTAGCCATTACAAATAATAGTACGATGCATTTGCAGTCAGATGAGTAGGGGATGTTTAGTGTTCCTGTGAAGACAATCAGTGTGTTAATGTGAAGATGAGCCCACAACCAAGAATGGCAATCATTTGAAGCCAGTCATCCCAGAAATGCAATTAGTTTAACATTTATAAACCAACGCGGTACATACCCCATTAGAGAATGAGAGAGCATTATATCATTTCAGTAGATGCAGTGTAAGTATTTGATAAAATTAAAAATATTTTGAATAAAAGTCTTAGCACCTAGGAATAGAGAGGTCTGATAAAGGGGACTGAGGTGGACTGAGGAGGGACCCCCAGAGACGTCCGCATCTGAACCCCCAAGCCTGTGACTAGGTTCCCTTATATGGCAAAGGGGACTTTGCGGGGGTGATGAAGGGAAGGGTCTGGAGATGGGGAAAGGACCCGGGACTATCCAGATGGGGTGCTCAGTGTCATCCCAAGGGTCCTTCTAAGAGGGAAGCGGGGGAGGGCAGAGGAGGAGGTGTGACATGAGAAGCAGAGGTTGGGGTGCAGGCCCTGCTCCCTCCTCAGGAGCCAGGCTAAGAACTGACTGGAGGCCCTTCTGACTTCCTCCCGTCAGTGGGCCAAGGAGCAGATAACCTTTATCCTTCCCATTCTGAGCGTAGCTCAATTTTTTCAACTCTGTGTTTTGAAAGGATTTAAGTCTTACAGAAAAGTTGAAAGAATAGTACAAAGATGCAGAATGCCCATGACTTTAGGCTTTTCCGACCCCTCCTCGGGATGGACTGCAGATGAAGGCACCTGGGCAGGAATGTCTGAGCAACGCGCTGGGCTGCCTCTGGAGAGAGTGCCAGCTCCTCTCCCTCCTGCCAATGCTCACGTGACGTGGGGCCGGCCAGGCTTCCCCACAGCACAGCCCCTTTTCTCTTGGGAATGAGTGTCTTGTGCAGAGGTATTTTGAGACGATCATAACTCTGAACCCCTTTAACGGTGCCCTCCTTTGCTGATGGGGGTGCAAAATGAGATAGACCTCCGTCCAAAAGGCAGGTCAGCATGTTTCCGAAGCCTGGAAACTGCCCACGGCCCTTGGCCTCTAGTCTCCCTTTGGAAAATCAGTTCCCAAGAACCGGCCAGTGGGGGTAGTGACGTCCTCAGGATGTCGGGGTGCTGTGAATTGTTACACATCCCAGGGCAAGTGCACCCTGATGACACGGTGTGTCACTGCAGCCCTTAATGTTTGCTTACAAGGTCCACAAAGAATTAGTAACTTCACAGGGAACTGCTGATGGTAAACTGTTCTTTTTAAAGGAATATATGGAATTATTAAAACTGTATGTTGAAAAGTACTAGAAGAAAACACCCTCAGAAATGTTACCAGCGGCTAATCCAAAGCGAAGTTGTTTTTTATTTTATCTCATTCTCTTTCACTTTCAAGAATGTTTTGTTTTGTTTTGTTTTGTTTTGTTTTGTTTCCAATGAACCCTGATTCTTTTCTATCAAGGGTAGGGGGTGGGGGGAAGCAACCATATGAAGTCCTTTGTTTGGTGCCTTTTGGCTTCTGTCCTCCCTGGCATGCTCTGAGCTGAGCTGTAGGAGCCTCTCCCTAAGCCCTGGGGGTGGGAGTAGCAGAGTTGGGGTCCTTAGTAGTCCCCACCTCCCAAATTCTTACACTGCCTCTCCAGGCCTCAGCCACATTGCCCTTACCCACCCCCAAGCCCAGTCTTCCCCTGGGCGGGGCGGGGGGCGGGGCGGGGGGGCGGGGTGCACTGGTGGAGACTCCTGCAAGGACAAAGCATATTCACCTAGAGCGCTCACTTCCCACTGACAGGCAGGCGCCTCAGCACTGGAGTCGGCAGGCTCTCACTCCTACCCCCCACCCCACCCCACCCACAGAGTAGGAGTTCCTGAGACTTTAAATGGGAGGACAGAGGACCAGGGGCATCGCACATGTCTGAGACGGGGGGCGGTGTTCATCAGGTCTCTTTCAGGTGCCAGGAACAGAAGCCCAATGCCAACTCGGTTGAGTTTACGGAGCTGGAAGGTCCAGGAGTGGACTCCAGGCACAGCTGGGCCCAAGAGAACACTTGTCACTTGCTCATGCTTTCACAGAAGCTCCCTATACTGGGCTGGGAGGGTGGTGAGACCCCAGAGGCACAGGCCTCAGCTTGGAAGAGCTGGCTCGTCTCTCCAATGAGGTATTTCCCTCCCCAGTGTCTGTGGTTGTTCCGGACCGTTCAACTAATCCTTTCCATATGTCTGGGAACGTGGATTTCTTCCTGCTCAGAGATCAGGAGCGGGATAAGTTTCACGCAGTGAGTACGCAGGACCAAGGCCTGCCCCAGCGCTTTCTTCCCTTACACAAGCAACAGCAGCCAGATTTCCGAAGAGCACTTTCCCCCGGTCACTCTCACTCTAGAATGGCTCACCATTTCCTAGAAAATGAACTGGAAACTCCCCCTAGCTCTCAGGTCTCTGACCTGTCCCACGGTCACCCAGTTTCACCACCATTGTGCCTGGGCCTTTGTCAGGCTGGGCTCCTGGGAGCTGCTGTGGCCACAGCCTCTGCTACCACGCCTTTGCTTCTGCTGTCCCTTGCCAGAGATGCCATCCCCTTCTGAGGCTTTTCCTGTCCTTCGAGGCCCATCTCAGACCTCAGGGACCCTCTCACCTCCCCCTGGAAATCCTCCCCACAGCTGGCCCCCACTGCTCTTGCCTTGCACAGTCCCCTGGTTGGAACTCTTAGAGGCCAGATATGCACACAGGCATGCACACATGTGCACATACACATTGCATGCCCCTTAGCAGTGCCTGGGAGTCCCGGGGCCAGCCCTGATCCCCAGGCTGTGCCTTGTCTCCACCCCAACATAGTCTCTCTTGCTTCCCAATCCCAAGAGCCCATGTACCCATACAGCTGCCCGCCCCCCCTGCACCCCCCCCACCCCCCACCTACACCCACACACATCCACCCTGCCGCGGCATGGCCAGCCAAAACAAGCAAGCCTCACTGCAGCCAGGCATGGGGAGAGCTCACCAGGTACGCATCTTCCGTGGGAAGTGGCTTGTGCTGGCCGTACTCTCATGGCTAGTGTCTCGGGCTCCCTCCTGGGCTGGCTCTGTCCACCCCACTTCAGGGCTCAGAGTCTGAGATTGCATAGAGCTGTGGCTTCCACTGCAACTCCAACCGGTACTGACACCCCAGACCTCTGGCCTAGAAACTCTGGGAGGGCCACCATCCATCGATGTTCCCCCGACTCATGCCACGCTGTGCACCCACTCATGCCCTAGAAGGAAGCTCATGAGAAGCCACACTGAGCAGCTCCCACTTCCCCGAGGCCTCCAGAGTAGGGAGATATTGCAAACACACGCCCAGACTTTCTCTGACCTTGACTTAGCTCACCAGTGCAGAATTCCATTTTCTTCTGCCAGGTTGGCCCTGCTTCAGGGCTACCTCCATCTTCTTCCAAAAGCCCCTGCAACCTCACCCTCCACCCCACACCCCATCTGAGCTCCCCAACCTCACACTCCTCCCCACCCTGCCCCATGGATCCCCCCAACCTCACCATGATCAAAAGCAGCTACCCAATAACTTCTAAACACAGGTCTTCAGCCACAGGGATTCTAGAGGGTGACATTTTCCCAATTTTGTTGTTATGCAGGGCTCACACTGGATCCTGCCACAGCTAGGTTTTCCCTAAGCAGCGTTCTTTAGAGGCTGAATTGGATTTTGCACCTGCCAGGCCCAGTAGGAAATAGAACTACCCAGGAAAGGCCAAAAGAAGAGTTCACATGAGGCCTATCCGATCCCAGCCCACCCCATGAGGGATGTGGAGACCCCCGAGGTCTGAACAGAAGAGTCAGGGCACCCCAGAAGCCAGAGATCTAAATGAAGCCTCTGGGAAGAAGAGACCCCAACCCCCCTCCCATCCTGGGATCCTCTGAAGTGAAAGGCTGGGGCCACAGGTCAGGGCAGGTGGAGAAGAGGTGGGGAGGTGCAGAACCCCAGTGACAGCACAGCCCCGACACTGGCCGACAAGTTTGCAGATCAAACTCAGGGTTTCAAGTTTCTTTTTGAAACTCGGATCTAATTTCCCTGGACCTTGGGATGTTGGATTTAGCAAATCACAATACAAGTTTAAGTGTGAGTTTCAGATACACCAAGAGTCATCTTTTAGTAAGTATGTCCCTGAACTACTGATCCAGAATGCACATCACTTGGCAGACAGCCTGTGCTCATCTGGCTGCCCCCCTGCACCTGGCTCTCCAGAGGCCAGTCCTGCCCACTCCCTCTGAAACGGGGCAGTCGTGGGCAGAACCCCAGGGTGCTCCCACACACACACAGCTCCACCATCTTTCCTGCGCTTGGCACATGGGCACCCCCCACCCGACCGACCAAGTGCGAACCACCTCACATCCATACGACCCTGGCATGGGACAACGCAGGAGGAGGCAGCTGGGCCCAGGAGAGGGGGAAGGGTGTGTGGGGGCCGGCACTGGGAGGCCTCGCCTGATTCGCCCGCCCCCCAGGAGCGGCAGAAGAAGAAGATGCTGCAGTTGCACCAGAAGATGACCTACTCATCCAAAGTGTTGGCCAAGCACGCCAGCCTGCTGCATGAGCTGCAGCTGCAGGACCGGGCGGATGACCAGGAGGCACGTGCCCTGGCCGAGGCCCAGCAGATGAGCGCCTTCCAGGAGGAACACACCTCCTGGAAGCTGGCCATGACCAAAGGTACTGCTCCTCTCTTCCCAACATCGACGTCGGGTCTGTGCCTCCAGGCGAGGGCCGTGCTGCAGAGGAGGGGCCGCAGTGCAGTGGGGGCGCCTGTCCTGTATGACCCCTGCCTCCTGAATCACAAACACCAAGTCCAGGTGGAGTGCAAATCTAAAAGCCTCTGGACCCCAGTACTGCATGCACTCTGAGTGCTGATGAGGCACAACAAATGCAGGTTGTATAAATATGGGCATTTAACATGGGGATAAAGAGTCAGTGTAGAACTGATTGCCTGGGTTCAGATCTCAGTGGCTGCTCCGTCCGGCCAAGTTATCTAACTCCTTTCCTGAGTTTCCTCTCCTGGTTGATGACAGTAGCAACCTCATGGTTGGGGGGATTCAACCTCGTCAAACACAGCATATCGTGAGAAAGAACTGTGTGTGTTTGTGTGGGTGTGTGCGCGCATGGGCAGTTATTTTTGTAGCCCAGTAGGAAATCTACAGTACTGAAAATGAATTAATATTCTACCAACCCAGATGATAAAATATAGTATCACTCGGCTAGAAAGTAGTAGTTGGGATCAGAGAGTTCTGGAGCCCCCGGGGCTACAGGCGTACTGGATATGAATATACACGTAAGGAGGCCCCAGTCTCCACCCTGACACCGTGGCTTGTTCTTTGGGGCAGGAAACCCTGTGCTTGCTCCGACGATTGTGCGCCAAGCTCTGCATGGGAGGAGTAGCACGGCATGTGCTTTCTTTCTGCCTTCGGCCTCTATCCCTAAGCCCTAGGAGAGGCAGGTGACACCTGGATGGGGAAGCCTGGACCCAGGCTGTTTGGACAAAAGACTTGTCAGTGTCCAGCTTTGGCTTCCAGTGAGGAGCTGGGTCTCCTTGAGGGCAGGGACTCCCCCAGGGTGGACCAGGAGGCAGGGGCCTAGTGGGTTCGCTGCCAGGCATCTAGACCTAAAGCAGGACCCCTGCAGCTTTTGGAAAGGAGAGGACTGGAAAGACAGAGCCACGCGGTTCCGCAGTCCTTCCCACAGTCTCTGTGCTCTCCAAAGCTGGGGAGTGTTTAGGTCTTCCTTTCCAGAAAGGCCCAAAAAAGAGCCCCCATGGCCGGTGGCCCCACCGTGCTGCCTCTCTGCTTGTCCTCTGGACGGTCATCCAGGAGCCCACCCTGATGTCCCCCCACCTGGGGAAACCCTGGCAGTGTAGACTTAGCTGCTGCCCACATTGGGCCCTGGGGGCTCAGGGCACCCCCGGTTGAGATGATCCTGCCACATTTTTCTCTCAGGTCCTGGGCAGTAGGCCTTCTGGTATGAAGTCCAGTCGGGTGAAACTCCCAGGGTAGCGGTGTCCAGAGTCTCATTCCAGGTGAGAGGAGCGCAGCAGCAAGAGAGGCTCTTCCCACCTGGACTGCTGCAGGCGTGGAGGTGTGACCTATCAGCGGGGCCTTCTCCGCCTTTGCAGGAGACAGGGCTGGCTCTCCCACGCCCCCTGTGATAGCGCTGCATTGCACCAGGAGCAGCTGACCAGCACCCCCTTCCTGTGCACCCATCCTCAGCCACACCTGAGTCTCTCTCCCACTGCCCACCCCCCAGATGCCTCCCTCCTCTCATTGCAGAAAAGAAAGAGGATTCTGACAGCATATACAAGTACATCAACCAGAAGCGGCAAATGTTCCTCCTCCAGGTAGGCCCGTCTGCTCCCTTGAAGGGGACCTGGGTGGGCTGTCTGGTGGGGAGGGTAATCCCTGCTCTGGTGGCCATTAGTATGCCCTGGATATGAAGCGGAGCGAGATCCAGCGGCTGGAGATGCTGGCAACAAAGGAGGAGGCGGAGCTGGAGCGGGCTGAGAAGGCCCTGGAGAAGGATTCGACCCTGTTCGATGAGTTCCTCAGGGAGAATGACCGCAGCTCAGTGCAGGCCCTGAAAGAGTGAGCCTGTGGCCAGAGGGGCTGGTTGGCCATGCCCCTACAGTCCCCTGGGCCTGTGCAAACCACCCGACCTAGCCTGCACCCAGCCTCAGCCCCAGCCTCCACCCCTGACCCAAACCAGGCTTCTGGGAGCTCCCCAACCTCCAGCCTGGCCTGAGGGCGGTTTGGCCTCTTGAACAGTCTGAGATTGGCTCCCTGCCCCACCCTACCCTTCAGGGCAGAGAAGGAAACCAAAGTGAAGATAGAGAAGATCACTGAAATCCGAGAGCTGACCACCCAGATCATGAATATCAAAAGGTAAGGTCCGAGGCTGCCTGGGGGGCGTGGCTCAGTGGTTGAGCATGGACCTATGAACCAGGAGATCACGGATCAATGGCGGCCAGGGCTCAATCAACCAATGATGCTCTCTCATCATTGATGTTTCTATTTCTCTCTCCCTCTCCCTTCCTCTCTCAAACCAGTAAATAAATAAATATAAATATAAATTTATTTATTTATTTATACATACACTAAGTGGCCAGATTATTATGGCCACCTGACATTTGCAGGCAAATTAGCCGTACACTGCATTGTCTGGGATATGGAAGCCGAAGGCCTATTCAAACACCTTTGCTGTCTGCAGTTACCAAGATAAAGCATCTCCAATTCGCACAGGAACACAAGGATTGGACAGTCCAGCATTGGAAAAGAGTCATGTGGTCCGATGAATCACGTTTCCAGTTGCATCATGCAGATGGCAGAGTGAGAATTTGGCGGAAACTGCATGAAAGCATGCACTCCACATGCATGAGTACAACCCTTCAAGCTGGTGGGGGCAGTGTTATGGTTTGGGGCATGTTTTCCTGGCATGATTTGGGCCCTTTAATTCATGTGGAATAACATCTGAATAGCACAACATACCTAAGTATCGTTGCTGATCAAGTTCATCCTATCATGTTGATGGCGTATCCCAATGGATATGGCTTCTTCCAACAAGACAATGTGCCATGCCATGGTGCTCATATTGTGCAGGAGTGGTTTCAAGAACATGAGGGAGACTTTACCTTGCTTAGGTGGCCCCACAATCACCAGATCTCAGTCCAATTGAGCATTTGTGGGATGAAGTTAAAAGAGCCATCAGGCAGCTGGTTCCACAACCATCAAATCTCACAGAACTGGACAGTGCTATTCATCAGGCATGGTGTCAGATTCCTCGCATCACCTTTCAACATCTCATGGAGTCAATGCCAAGAAGAATCGCTGCAGTATTGAAGGCAAAAGGTGGCCCAACGAAGTACTGATGGGGTAGTCATAATAATCTGGCCACTCAGTATATATATATATATATATATATATATATATATATATATATATATATATATCCCACATTCAAAGGCTGTTAAATCGCATTGTTTACCCAGATCTTCAGAAAAAAATCACTTCTACTGTCGTTGTAAACAACCTGCTTCCCTATTTATAATGGTCTGGCCCTCTAGCAACTTCAGCGCGAAATTATAGCTAATTTGCCTACAAACATCAGGTGGTCATAGTAATCTGGCCACTCAGCATATAGATATAGATATAGATATAGATATAGATATAGATATAGATATAGATATAGATATAATTTTTATAGATAAGGTCAGAAGCAAACTTGGCCTGGGCTAGCCTGCCCACATTTCCCTTCATCACTTCTCCCCTGGCCAAAGGGTGCTTCCCCACAACACAAAGCTCATCATTTTCCCTGAGCTCTAAAGGTCTCAGGGCTTCAATCCCTACAGGCTGCTGCCCATCTTATAGATGAAGTGACTGAGGCCAGGAGAGGTTCACTGACTTTCCCAAGGCCACACCACCAGGACATAGGGCTCACATGGGTCTGAGGATTCTGGGCTCCACCCTGGGAGGGGCAAGACAGTCCCTGAGGGCTGTCACTCTGGGAGGGATTGGCTCCTGCAAGGTGGGCATCCTCTCCCTGGCACAACAGTGCTTCTGTGCCCGCCCTTTTTGACCAGGGTGCATTGGGGTCCCCTCTGGAGGGGCTTCCCAGTGGGCAGAGCCTGACCTCACTGTCCCCTCCCCCGGCTCAGCGAAATCTCCAGATTTGAAGACACTCTGCAACATTACAAGGTCTGCAAGGATTTCCTGTACAAGCTGTCGCCCAAGGACTGGTTGGAGGAACAAGAGAAGAAGCACTTGGCTCTCAGACAGGCCAAGGAGGCCGCCAAGGCCAAGGAGAACGCTCAGTTGTCACAAGGTGACAAAGGTAGCTGAAAAGAGAAGATAGCTCCCTGGGTCCATCTGCACCCTGTGCCCACCAGCATAGGCCTTGGAAGTGTCCAGGCCGAGGGACTGGTCGCTTCCACACCCTGCAGAGCTCCAGCTGGGGCAGCCGCCCCTTGACCACCTGTGGCTCAGCACAAGCACCTGCTTGGGGAAATGGGGCTGGCTCTCAACTCAAACCCAAGGGGTTTTCTCCTATGCACCTGCCTTCTTCTGCCACTGAGGGGTCCCAGGGAACCCTGCGCCCCCAAGCAATGTTGCCGCAGGCCTGGTTCCAGCCAAGGCCATCAGGGACCTCTCCCTTGCTTTCTGTAGGACCGGGGACCAAGGGAAAGATGACCTCCAAAGGTATGTGGCTGCCCGGCTGGAGGGGCCCCGCCCTGGGTTGGGGCAAATAGAAACTCCTCCTCTGCCTCCCGCAGAAGGGCAAAGCCCACGGAAGCCCTGGAAAGTGCTGCAGGTGATCCGGGTCGGGCAGGTGCTGACCAGCCCTGGCCAACACGACCATCAGCCTGGGTCGGACTCCAAAAAGTGAGTGGGCTGGGGGAGCTGCAAAAGTGGCTGGAGCCTGGTGGGCGGTGCTCCCCAATGGCTCCCGCCAGGGGCACCCAGATTAGGCCCAGACCCTGAGCGGGGAGAGTAGGAGGAGGGTACATAGTCTGACTTAAGCTAGAATATCAAGAAGTTTTCTAAAGAAAGGTTTGTTTCTGCCTGATTCAGTAAATGTACTATTAGTAAGCCTGGGGTGGCCCATTTGGGTGCTAATAGACTAGTCAAATGTGAACAGATGAGGGGAGCCAGATGGGCACAGGGAACAGGATGGCACATGCCCCCTGCGGGTCCTCTGTGGCCAGGGAGTGCTGGCCCAAGGGCCAGAGCTCCAGAGCTGTTCAAGAGAAGCCAGACATCTAGACTGCTTTATAAAATTACCCGGATTTCAGTGTGACAGTCTCTTTCAAATCTTTTAAGAAACACAGTGAGGTACCAACAGAAACCCCACGCCGATCCATGTACCAGTGCAAACCTGATTCTCCACTCCTTTGCCTGCAAGGCCGAAGCTGTCCCCCACCCACCCCACCTGGTTCCTATGCTGAGCTGCTGGGTCACCTAGTCACTCCTCCCTCCCGGAAACGCTCACAGTAATCACAACTCTAGCTAAACGGAGAAATCTCAACGCCCAGTTCCTGTGCACCTCCTGCCAGGCTGTTGGCCAGGAAGCCACAGGCAGCGCTGTGATGAGTTTTATTATTTCCTGCATGTCCTTTCAGCCGTGTTTAAGCAAATAGTGCGTTGAACCATATGAAGTTGCTGTGCAGGTCAAAAGGGTACTTGGCATGCCCTTATGATTCAACCTACACATAAGCAAAGGCGATTTTCTTATGCCCAGCCTTCCTTTCACAAGGAGCTAACCCTCCCATCTCACCACTTCTCCATTAACAGCATTGCCAGGGGGCCTCCGTCGCCAGGGTTCCAGGGTCCTGGTGTCTGCCAAGCCCCTGGCCTCTTGATGCTGACTGAGGTGAACTTCACAAGATGTAAACATGGAGCTGGGCACAAACACTGCATCCCAGGGCTGTCTGGTATTTGCCTTTATAGGGCCAGGGCCACCGCCAGGTCTCGCCTGTCCCATGAAGTCTGGACACCTCGGGCCAGAGGGATGAGGGCCTGGAGAGTCATGTGGGGAGCCAGAGCAGCTGGTAGGCTTGGAGCCAGGGCAGAGAGCTTGATTGGCCCATGCGATTGGGGAGCTGGTGAGTCCACAGCCTGCAGGCAGGCTGGCGGGCTGCAGACCCAAGGAGGCAGAGCTTCCACTTGAGTCCAAAGGCAGTAGGCTGGCAGAATCCCTTTTTCAGAATACAGAAAATCAAAGACAGAGCTAAAGCAAGCATGAGTGATAGCTCATGATTTCTGTGACATTTTCATGACGAAAAATACGATGGCCATTCGGATGTCCTCCTTTGTGAAAAGTGTTCAATCTTTGTACATTTTTATTGGATTGTCAGCCTTTTTTTTCTGGTTTCCTATTAGCACTTTATATATCCTGGGTGCTAGTCCTTTACGTAATAAGTGTAGTATAAGTATCTTTATCCAGTCTCGCTTGCCTTATTACTCTTAATGCTATCTTTTGAGTCCGGTTTACCAATCTTTACTTTTATGATTGGTGCATTTGTGCCCTACTTAAGAAATCTTTGCAAACCCCAAAGTCACTAAAATAGTCTCCTGTGCTTTCTTCTGGAAGCTTCCTAGTTTATCAGCTTGGATGAGGGTGGTGGTTGGGGAGATGGGGAAAATGGGTAGCCCGGGGGCTCAGGAGCCTCCCCCTCACTCTCCCTCTCGGAGTCTGTCTCTTCTGCTCATCCCTTTATGTACTCTGTCCTCTGCCCTTCCTTCTCTACCATGGCCTGGCCACCCCCTCCCATGGTTCTTCTCCTAGTTTCTTGAGCTCCAGGCACTTATGGGTGTCTCCCATTAGATGTTCTCTACATTCAACCTCCCAAATACCAAACCGATACTTCTCAGGCTGAAGGGGAGCCAAGCACTACCAATTTGCAAGCTTACGTTCATCTTTATGAATCATGGTTCGTGCCTTATGGAGAGCAACCACCACTGGCCAGGCAAATGCCATGGGTAACTCTGAAGCCTGCGACCCCTGCTGGTGGGGGCTGGTATTCCGATTGAGTGTTGAATGGAGGCTCCAGGGGGTTAGATATGCATGCTTCCTCTGCCTAAGTTCTCCCTCAGCCCTAGAGCTCCCACTGTGAGGCCCCTCCCTAAGAACAGAGGTCTGGGAGCACACAGTCCTGGTTAGGATCTGGGTTCCTCAGTCTATTGGTCATGTGACAGGTCTCTGCACATGACACTTAGCCAAGAGGTTGAGTGGGGCTTAAAGTCCAGTCCACACTTCAGGCTAGGTCCATCTTGAGGGCAGATTCTCCAAAACGGCTTATGGGCCAACAGTGTCCTGCAGGTGACCTTGGGTAGGTGACTCGATATCTGAGTTGCATGTTCCTTAGTTGCCAAATGGGCATCAATGTGTATACAATATGAGGCACAGGCCCAGTGAGTGTTTAGTAGTCTCTCCCACAGCGCCCTGCATTTATCACCTGTCGGCTGCAGGTGGGTCAGGGCCTGGAGTCTCTCTGGCTGTGAGCCTGCCCTGGCCCTTCTTTAGCCAGCAGAACCTGCAAATCCAGGGTGGGGGCCAAGGCTGGAGCAGGCACAGAGGGTGATAAAAGCAGGTCTGGATGTGGGGCAAGACTGGGTCCCATGTTGAGTGCTCCAAGCCCACACAGCCTTTTCTGCACCCCTGAGGGCTGGCCCAGGATGGTCTCACCCTGTGGGGTGCTCAGGGTCAGTTGAAGGTGGCTGTGTCACAGAAGCACTATGAGGGCCATCAAGGACAACTGCCAAGGCCAAGTCTAGATAGAGGAGATGGGCAGAAAAGGCCCTGAAAGTGGCTTTTAAGAAAGGACGATAAATGGAGAGGGACAGCCCCAGTAGTGGGAGCCGCAGGTGCCAAGGACCTGAGGCAGAGTCAGCACCTAGAGAGACAGGAAGGGAGCTGGCAGCAGAGTAACCTTGGACAGTGGGGGAGGTATGGTTTGGGAGGGTAGCAGGGCCCCCACAGCTCCCGGGTGGAGGCTGAGTTTTATTCTAACTAGAGAGAGATTAATTGAATTTTGAGAGTTAATTGAATTTCGAAATGATACCCCCGGTTGCTGTGTGACAGCTGGGGGACCAAGAGGAAGCTGGTGCCACCACCTGGGTAACTTGCGTGATGGACAAGGGGACGAGGGTTATGGGGTTGGAGAGGAGATTCTGTGGAAATGCCAGGAGTCTACACCACTGAGATGGGGCACAATGGCCCAGGCTGGGCCCTAGCGCCCTAAACCCACATCTCTCCACAGGTCCAGCTCTTCTACCTTACCCAAGGAAGAGGACCCAGACAGCGACGGAGAGGTCAGTGGCCCCACTCTTGGCAGGGTCTGCGGGAGCCAGGTCCCCTTGCCACTGCACTGCTGGGGGCCTCTCGCCCCCTACCCCCACCCCAACACACACACACACACACACACACACACATACATACACAGCTCTGGTTCCAAGGTCTGGAGCTGTACTTCGTGGAGTCCCCAGCTCCTGGAGGCCCCCCCGTCTCCCCCCTGCACACACACAGCTCTGGTTGCAGGGGCTGGAGCTGTACTTCAAGGAGCCCCACCAGCTCCTGGAAGTCTTTACAACCCTGGAGGAGCAGAACCTCTCGCTGATCCAGAACACACAGGAGATGGAGGAGGCCCTGGAGGAGCTGAGCTTCACCCTGAAAAATACCCAGATCCGCATGTAAGTCTTGAGTGGGGCCACCCTAGCCAGTGAGGAGGTGGACTCTATCATTGGTTGTCATCCTGGGACCTCCACAGCCACTGGCAGCTGGACCATGGGCCCGGCCCCTCTCTGTCCTAGCCCTGGCCTTTCCCTGACTTCTGTTTTCTGGAAAGCTCCATTTGACGTTGGTACCTGGCTCTGGTGAGAAGATGTGTCCTGTTGGGTAGGGAAGTTGAGGGTCATGGGGACCCAGGAGTGGCCTGGGAGTTGATCCTATCGTTGGACTGGTCCATGCCTGCCCTGGAGCAGTCTGCAGCCAGAGAGGGGCATCTTAAGAACCTCTCACCCCAGGTGCATTCTGCTGAAGCCAGGTCCAGGAGAGCTGGGCTGAGCAAGATCAGTTAGGGCACTAGGTGAAGTCTGTTGGGAACAAGGAATTCGCTCCTAAACACAGACTGAGGACCTATTCTGGGTCGGGCCTGGATCTAGGTCCTCCGGGATAAAGGCCCTTCCTCATTGAGCTGACATTCCATGGGGCCCACAGATTTGACTTGTAGACACTGACACATGCTAGGAGGGAAAGTGTGAGTGATACGAGAAGAGGCTACAGAAGAGGGTGGCACAGATTGACAAGGGCAGGGAGGCTCCCTGGGGAATATATCCTTTGAGCCAGGTACTTCCCGAGTGATGGGAAGCCACATGTGATCTGGGAAGAGGGTGCCAGGCAGAGGGAAAGCAAGTGCAATGGCTGAGGTGGGAGCCAGCCCAAGGCTTCAATGCCCCCCAGGGAAACCATGTTCCTGAACATCCATGTCTCGCTGACCCATGTCCTGCCATGGAGAATCTCCTGCTGGGAGTCTCCAGACTTATGTGAAACTACTAGCTCTCGGCAATATTGTTTCCCAGAAAGCAGGAAGGTAGCAGACACACACAGACACGAACTGGGAGAGGCAGGCAGCCTCCCGGGTTCTATAACCCCTGGGCATGTAGATACTTTACAGTCACAGTTCCTTAGCCCAGTGGTCAGCAAACTGCGGCTCACGAGCCACAAGTGGCTCTTTGGCCCCTTGAGTGCGGCTCTTCCATAAAATACCATGTGCAGGCGCGCACATACAGTGCGATTGAAACTTCGTGGCCCATGCACAGACGTTGGTATTTTGTGGAAGAGCCACACTCAAGGGGCCAAAGAGCCGCATGTGGCTCGCGAGCCACAGTTTGCCGACCACTGCCTTAGCCCTCAGGACAGCGGCAGGAGGGGTCAGGTTCAGAGGTGAAGTGCCCAGGGACACACTGGTGAGCAGGGCCCTACTGATCCCCCATCCAGGGATAGGGAGGTCAACCAGCTGAAGCAGTGGATCACCACACTGATGATGTCCATCACCAAGGAGGAGGAGACAGCTGCTGAGCTGGAGCTCAAAGCCCGAGTCTTCCATTTCGGCGAGTACAAGGGTGCACAGGAGGTAGGCCCCCCCGGGCGGCAGCCAGCAGGCGGTGGATATGGAAGGGAGTGCAGGTGGCCACAGGCTGGCAGCGGGGGAGGGGGAGGGGGAGGTCCTCTTCCAGGCACCTGCTGGGAGGAGGTCCAGTGCCTGGAGCTCTGACAGTGGGAAAGTAAGGCCTGAGATTCGGCTGTGCTCTGGGGCTGCAGGCCCCTCACCACCTCCAGGCTCTGTGGACCTGACCAAGGGGCACCAGCTGAAGAAGGCCCTTGGTCCCCAAATCCAAGGCACCCTGTGTGTTTCTGCTCCATGGCTGTTCATCTGCCCAACACACCTCCTCCATTCCTTCCTTCTTTGGACAAATACCTCTGGCTTCTTAAACATGTATAATATCCCCAGAGAGGCACATCCCCAGGCCAGAGTGTGAGAGAATTCTGAGGGCCAGAGATGTTCCAGGCAGTGGGACCAGGATTTGGCACACACTTCTCTTGATAGCAGCCCCAGCTTCCTAATTCATCCAAATTCCTATTGAGCACCCACTGTGTGCCAGGCACTGGGCTAAGTACATGGGATGCCACAATGAGCAGGCCAGTGTGTCCCTGCCTCTTGCTGGTCATCACTGGACACCAGCTGTGCCCTGTGCTTGGCTTAAGCCTTTTTGCTTGCTGTTCCTCATTTAGTCCACAGGTTCACTCATGTGTCTGAGGGGTTAACTGTTTTCTGAATGTTAGACAGACTCAGAGAGGGGAGTTCATCAGGCCAGGGCCACAGAGAAAGTAGGTCACAGGATGTGGTCCTGTGGGCGCTGAGGTCAGTGCAGGGGCAGCAGAGGGAGGGCTCCCAGGAGGAAGGAACTGGGACTTGGTGGACACACTGAGGCATCTGGGGGAGGGGCCGAGGCACAGGCATGAACCCTCGTGGCGAGTGGAACCCAAGATCTGGCTGACCACAAAAGAGCAAATGGGGGAGAGGGTGTCACAGCTCTGGCCAAGGAAAGTCCAGGTGTCCAGTTCAGTTTTCCCCAGGCTTCCTAAGTGCTCACCTGGGCAGAGCAGGGCCCTGGGAGGTTCGCCATGCTGCAGTGAGGGCAGATCATGAGAGGGAATGGACACAAGTCTGAGCAACCCCACTGGTGGACTGCCCGCCTCACAGGACAAGCTGCTGGAGAGCCTCAACCGCAAGGTGCAGGACGTGTACCGGCAATGTGTGGGTCCCCAGCAGGAGTCCAGCCTGGGCACCGTGCAGATGCTGACCGTCATTGAACACCAGCTGGACGAGCTGCTCGAGAACCTGGAGCGTGTGCCCCAGATCAAGATCGAACAGGCCGAGAAGGCCAAGGAGAAGGAGCGGCGCCAGAGGTGAGGCCCAGGCTGCCCTCCGCCCCCTGCTGTCTTGCCCTCCAAGAATTCCCAAATCAGGGGCAAGGACCCTGGTTCTCCAAGCTGGGAGAGCCACGGCAGGGCTCTGGGGGAGCCAGAGGGAACCCACACTCAGCCTCGGTAAGGGAAGCCCTGCTTGTGGAGAGAAGGATGTTGTGGAGTCAGGGAGCCAAAGTGAGGTGCGGCTACCACAGCCTGGCCTCAAAAAACAGGGGCCATTTTCCTGGCTGGATGGGAGGGAAACAGGCTGGCATTACAGAGCCCAGAGAGGGAGGGGCGGAGACGCCGGCACAGGGGATGTGGGCCCATCCTCCGAGAGGCCCGGAACTCCCGAAAGGCCGGTGGGGTGTGGGGTAGTTCCAGGGACCATGACTCCTCTGGCCTGTGGGCTGCCTGGTTTACTCACTCCTGTGCCGAGCCCCGAACACAGCCATCAGCAAAAGGCCATCTGCCTCTCCCATGAGCTCTGTGTCCTTGGTACCTTGCTCAGGGCAGACCCGGGGCAGTGGTTTGAGGACCCCTAGTACAAACAGGAAGGAGACAACACTACTAATCTTCTGAGGTCTGGGCTTTCAAGGGTGACGATAGGGAAGCATGGGCACATGGACCAGTGACTGGGGATAAAGGTCGAAGAACATGGGCTTCCTGGGGCTATAAGATGACCTTTACATTATCTCCCAGGAGCCCAGAGCTGGCTGCTCCCCATGGAGCAGGGCAGAACCAAGGCCCTGGCCTGGAAGGAAAGGGAGGAGAGGAGTGGGAGTTTTCTCAGAAGAGGGCGGGCCATGGCCTAAGAACTGTGTGGGAAGGAGCTGGGAAGGGGATTTGGCAGCCTCCCCTGGCCTCTCCAGTCTGTAGTGCATCTCTTGTTGTCCCTGCCACCTAGACTCCGGGAAGAGAAAGCCAGGATGCAGAAGCAGCTGCAAGAGGAGCGTCTCCAACGGGCCCAAGCCCGGGCCCAGGCTGAGATCAAGAAGAAGGTGGGCAGGGTGGGCCTGGGGAGCTACTGCTGGGGAAGGGTCCCACGTCCAAGCACAGTGTGGCTTGGGAAAGCAAAGGGTCTGCAGCTGAGTCTGGTTCACCGAATCCTTTGCAGATGTTACTGCAGCGGTCCTGGGCCCCTAAGAGCAAGGCTAGGATAGAGCAGCTCTCCCATTCTTGGGCCTACTGCCCCTCAGGGCTACCCTCGCCTTCCTCCAGAAGCCCTCTCCTGGGGCTGCCCGCTCCCCTGCACACATTCCTGGTCAGTGACTGACCTGGTCATGCCCTCCTGGCCCTGCTGAGAGCTAGCACAAAGAGCTCAGCTGCCCAGAGCCCCACCACACAACCTGCCTCAGAACAAGCTCATCACCTGTCACCAGAATCCCCTTAATTGCTGTGCCCCAATCCTCCATCCCACAGGGAATGGGCAGGAGCAGCATGGTCTCTAATGCAGGCCGAAGGCTGATCATGGCCATGACAGACAGAAGAGGCCCATGGGCTTTCCCTGCAATAGACCAGCACTCTCTCTCCTCTGTGCCGTGGGGAATGATGGACACTGCAGGGTCTCCCTGAAATCCCACAGCGAGACGGGTTCCCTGTTTAGCGGAATTTCCTGCACATGGCCCCCACATCTCTAGGAGCTGCCCCAGAGCACAGGCTTTAGTGCTGGACAGACACACTTCTGAGTTGGCTCAGCAACTCCAGCCCTCAGCCTGTGGCTGACCAGGAGCGACCAGAGACTGGGACGGTCCACAGGGCTCCCCAGCCTCCTGACAGGGGTGTGACCCCTCAATGTCTAGGTAGCACCTCTGGTGCACTGAGGCCACAGGCAGAGGGTTACTGAGTCCGCTTCTTCTACAGAGAGGCAGAAAGCTGGTGTCCCGCTCCGAGCCCCCGGCCCTGAAAACCAAGGAGGAGCCTGAGCAGGAGCTGCTGGACAAGGAGAAGGAGGAGCATCTGTTCTTCTTCACCTAGCCTTCCGGCGCTGCCATGGCTGACGGCATAGAGAGGACGGCAGCGGGAAGCGAACAGGGCTGTGTCAGGGCAGATGCAGCCCTCGCTGTGCGCCTCACGGTCTCCTGCTGTATGTTTCTTTACTCGTGAAATAAACCCCATGACTCTTTGGTGCCTAAGGGCTGTGTAAGGAGGTAGATCCTATCTCCAAATGCCAGCACTCCTCTTAATCATTAACCCTAAGAAATGCCTGAGCGAAGGAGGCCATCTTGGCTCCCATCTAAAACAACTGCTTTCAGAGACAAGCCAAGTCCACGCTAGGGTGCAGTGTGGGGCCAGCCCCAACACAAAGACAAGGAAGGAAAGCAGCAAGCTGGGCAGATGGGAGGGTTATTATTCCTGACTGAAGGAGAAAGTGATGTCAACACTATAGACACAATTCCTTAAAGTAAGTCAAGCGAAGCCTTCAGTATGTAACTATACAAAAACTTTTATTCATTTGCACTAGGGTTGGGTCCACTGCCAACAGGGGACCTCAGTGCCCAGAAAACTGACAGTCAGTACCAATCACTTTGTAGTGGACATTCACTGGGGGACGTACCGGAGAAAGGTCCAGCAGTACGTCCTCCTTCAGGAGGTCAGTGAGGTATGGCCATCCTGGCCGACAGGCTTGGCTCCTTGGAGAGGGAGGGGATTTCTGGAGGACCTGGAGGCTGAGGTGCCACATGAGCACAGAAATTGTTTGTGAAGCAGCACAGAGTTCTGTACGAACCATTTATAAATGGGGCCTAAATTCCTTCAGCTAGAGAAGCACTGAGCAGGAGGGGGTGGCACCTCAGAATAGGACAGAGAGGAATCACAATTGAATGCTAGGTCACTCCCAAGGGCCCAAGTCCAAACACTCAAGAAACAAAGAAACACAGGATGGGCAGAGTTTGGATGATTCCAAGTCTGAGAACCAAAGTAGCATCTTAATAAACACACACTTCAAAAGGCATAAGGCAAACACAGCATTTCTGAGTGATCATGTCCAGTCCACTAACCAATTAACAAATAAATATGTGCAAGGTTATCAACTCGTCTCCTTTTGCAAGACAGAATTAGCACTGCAAAATACGTGGTGGCATGATATGCACGCCTTCAACCTCAACAAAAACATGTGCACGCCATCATTACAATCCTGCACATAATTTATAGTGTTCTGAACATGACTTTATAAACCACCGTCAAATTATTAAACATTAGTACCCAAATACAGAATTTAAAAAAATTATTTTGAATGTTTTAATTCTACCATCTCCAAACTGTGAGCTCAAAATTTGGTCTACATGGAGGGCTCACAAACAGGGCCCCCGATGTGTCCACTTCACCTCAATAATTTCCTCACACCAGCAGCCTGCCTGGTCTGCCAGAACATGGATGAGAATTCGGCTTCCTGTGACAAGCAGCCCACTTCTGCCCCACAATGTGACAAAAGTCAACCCCGCTACAAGCACCATTCAAAGGGGTGGGAAACAGCCTGTCACATAGCTCTCAGAAAGGGAAAGCAGGGCGTTTAGATCTCTCTCAGGGCAAATGCTGAGACCGCAAAGCTGAAAGACCCCTTCTGGGTTTACTACAGATACAGTTGTATTTCACTAGGGGACCTGCTCTCTATTTCCTGCACAAGTCTGTTTTTGTAAATGCAACTGGTGCTCTATGGCTCAGATGAATGGGACAAGGGATGTGCGCACACAGGCACAAGTACAGAAGAGGGGTGTGCTTTGCTAGGAAGGCAATCTTTGCCTCACTGAAGCACTTTGCTTAGACAAGGCAGTTTTAAACAGAATGGCCCCTAACTGGTTCCTGATAGAATGTAAGAAAAAACATGTTCAATGAGTATACCCAAAAGTCTCTGAAGAACTAGGCTGGCCTTCTCAGCAGAAACCAAGTGGGCTCTCAGCCAGGCCTGCAAGACCACGTAACAGAGTCTCTTGGGGACACAGATGGGAGGCGTTGCCCTTGGGTCCCCCAGTAGAGGGCAGCTTTCACTGCAGGTCCTGTAGGTTGACAGTGCTGCCTGTGCTGTGCGTGTCCTCAGGCCCAGAAGCCCCTCCGGCAGCAGGATGCACCTCCTGCAAAACCAAGCAGAGTAATGAGGAGGTCAGAAAGCGGGGGGAGGGGGGGCTGAGGCAATACAGGACCACTCACAGCCTCACAGCCGCTCACCAACTAGCAGCATAACCTGCAGGGCCAGCCAGCCAGGTGCTTCTGACTTTTCTGTTAAAAACTACTCCACCTCTACCTTTTAGAGAAATGTTTCTACCTCATTAGATTCAAGGCCATGATGACCAGCGTTTGGCTATTTGTACCCTACCCGATTTCTTTAGGAGTGATCTTGTGAATGGGAACACCAGGCAGCATGTAGTAGACACTAAAGGGGCTTTCTGGATGTCCCCACTACAGCAGTCTGGGAGCTCCCACCTCCTATCAGTGCTTTAGTCAAAATTCATTTTTGACATTAAGGAAAATGTTTAACCCTCTGTACACCATAAGCATCTCTAGACACTTTAAAAACTCATTTTTCGTGAAAATTTTCAACTGAAAATATTCAAGAACACCGGAACTGTGAGTAATATATTTATTTTTATAATATTCATTGCAAATTTATATTTTTAATTAAATTCAAAATATCGTGGCGTGTGGGATAGTTTCCGTTTTGGACGTGTAGCAGTTATTGATAGCCCAATTTCTATTTGTATGGATTTTTAAGTATATATTTAAGCCTGTTAGAAATTTAATAAGCTAAATACTTTCATTATTTTATATCCAAATCTGAATTATCCACAGCCACCTATGCCCAGCTTATCCATTTAAGAAAACTAATTTGTCTGGGTCTATTTTTCCACAGGTTAAAACTAACTTCCCATTGAAGGAAGTGACTAGAATTTCTCTATATAAAATATTTTAAAGAGTATGTTCACCTTATTTACAAGTAGGAGCTACAATGACAACAAATTTGAGCTTTAGTCTTATCCTTTTATTTTCTGGCCATTTACCCACCTTTTCTAGAAAGCGGCAAACATCCAGGCAACCAACCCAATGGATCTCCACCCGAGGCCTACCTCAGTGCCCAGCCTCTGAAGCTGGAAGCTTGGTGATAATCTTACTAACAAACCCAAAGACGTGTAAAGCATCAGACCTGGAGGACATAGACGGGCACACCAATGGCGAGCAGGGGGTGGAAGGTGGAAGACTGCGGGCTCAGCACCACCGGCAAGACTCCTTCACCTGAGGGGCCATCCTGGGGAGGGAGGCAACAGCACATGTTTTATTAACCAGGCACGACAGCATTCCTACCTCAGCCTGAGTAGGTCTATCAATGCCACATGCAGGACTGGTCCTACCCCGTGTATCAGGCAAGGCACCCCCTTGACCCAGGTGAGGCCCGAGAACCCAGCAGCAACTGGCATCAGGGGCTGAGAGCCTCATCTCTCACCCTGATCCCAGCCTAAGGCCCAGGGGGCTAAGCTGGAGCTGAACCGCCTGCCGTCTGGCTGCTCCTCCCTCCCAAGTCCTTCTTCTGGAACTTTCCAGTACTCTCTCACACTCAAATACCTCCCCGCAGTCCAAGTGCCAATTTCTCTCCTGTGGGTTGTTCTTGAACTCTGACGGATGCTCCGGGCACCCCTCCCTCAGTGTCTCACTGCTCTCCAGCAGCCTTCTCAGACCACACAGGTAGGCTCATCTCTGCCTTGAATCCAGCCCTCAGTCAAGCTGGGACTATAGATGAAAGGTCTTCCCAAGAGGGGCGATCAGGCCCCTAATTGTCCAATTCAGAAAAGGAAACTGTTTAACACTTCACCTTTCATCTGCACGTCAGCACAGCTGACCATCCACAGCTCCCATCACTCAATCCTGGTGCCACCATCACTCCCATCAGTATCTCTCATTCCTTCCAGTCTCAAGAACCTTCTGTATCAAGCACTGAGCACTCACTATCATTCCCATCTTATATGTGATAAGACGGAAGCCCCAAGTGCTTAAGTAACTTACCCAAGACTACCCTAGCTGGTAAGGGAAAGATAAAAGATTAAAACCCAGGTTTCTCTACCTCAAAACTGACATCTTTAATTGGTGTTCCTTAGAAAAATAACCACAACTCCTTTTCCAACTAGCTCCAGTGGAACCAGCTTCCTTACAGTCGCCATGTCAAAACCTCGAGTCCTGCAATCTTCACTTGGGATCTGCTTGCTGGCTTTGACCATGTTCAGAAGGCTCAAACTGGGCCCCCTCCACTACCTTTATCTTGGAAAAATCTTTCATTTCTCTGCAGGCAAATCCCGCTCCCACAAAACGCTCACATCTGCTTCTGGTTTGCTACAGCCGCATGGCCATCCACTGGGCCCATCTTCCAGGCGCCCTCAGGCTCTGCCCAACCCATTGCTACCTCTCTTTCACTTATCTGAACCCTACAGACGCTCCATAGCCAGCACGGTCCTACTTCCTTCATGAGCCTCTCCCAGAACTAGACTCCACAGACTGGACTCCCTGCTCCCTCTTCCAGATCAGCTCAGGACTCAGATGTTCTATGACATCTCTGACTGGGACTCCCTGGCCACACAGTGCTCTTTGGCCCCAGAGTACCCAGGACACAGAAGACTGCTCAGTGAAGGGGCAGGATGTGATCGGGTCAGGTCAGAGGGGCATATCCTCAGCTTTTACATCTTTTCTGTTCTAAAACCCAAATTACCTTACATCTCTATCCTGCCCCTTCAAAAATGAGACTGGAAATAAAGTTGTACACAGAGGTGTGGAGCTGAATGTGTCTAATGAGCGTTCGTGGAGTGGCTGCCAGCTGCAGAGTCTGCTGGGCCCGGGGCATAGTCTAAGAGGTGGCTGGCCCTGCCCTTCAGGGGCTCAGTTTGGTAAAGAATGAAAACGGGAAAAGAAAAAAAATTAAAAGCTAGCACCTTTAATAGATAAAGGCTACATCCTCTGGTGTGCTACCAGCAGTCTCCAGAGATGAGGATGACCAATGCAGCCTGAGGAAGCCCCTGCACCCCAGCCCTGAAAAGAGAAGCAGGGTCTGGGGAGGGGCAGGCAGCGTGAGCCAGGTGCCACAGCATCCAAAGGCTGCAGTGCCTGTCTGTGGCCATCCTCAGGCAGCCCAAGCAGCTCAAGACAGCTACAGGGGGCCTTGGAATGAAGCAGGCATGTGTCTACACCTCACAGGACTCCCAGTACATTACAGAAGACAGAGCACATGGGAAGGGGGGACCAGACACATACAGAGAGTTCTGACACAGATGTGTCGATCTTAATGAAGATAAAAGCTTGAACAAATATAGCTCAGTGGGTGGGATGAAGGGAGAAGCTGGGGTTATGGACAGATGATTTAGGATATAAAACAGGACTTGGAACAGTGGTAGAATGGCCGTTCACTGAGAGAAAGGAGCACCCAGAGACAGAGCCCTGAGGCCTTGCCCACAGCTCTCACCAGGACACCTCCGAGCCTGCCTCCTCCCAGCTCGATGGCTCTTACCTGCAGTAACTGGACCTGAACACACTGCACCCCAGCTGCTGGAGCTGGTCCTGGCAGACCTCCGCCGGGCACCACAAGGTTCCCACACAACCAACCACTCTGGTTTGCATACAAGTGAGTAGGAGTGACTTTGCCACCTTTCATTTTTCTCTGAGTAGACCCTGAGGCTCCTAAAATGAAACAAACCAACAATGCACTGTACATTGTGCTGTTCAGGCCCTTGCCTTCACAGAGGCCACACTCTGGGGGAGTCAGCCTTCCCATTACCTGTCACTGCACAGCCTTACAGAATTAAAATTACTGAACAGGGATGGTCATGAGGTAAGAGGTGAAGAAAACAGGAGAAAGATTAACAAACTCATATGTGTCGCTTGGACAGACATCAGACTTGTGAAGGTGGAGACTCTTCCTTACCCTCTGACTCCAATAGCTACAGGCATGCAGATCTGAGACCACTGAGCAAACCAACCATGGGCGCAGCAGAATCACGGACAAGGAAGAGGAAAGAAAAGAGGCCCCACCCCTTGGACACTTCGGCACATGCTAAATGGCTGCCATATTCTTCAGGCTTTTTTTGTCCAGCTTCCTTTACAAAAATCATCACTTCATAAAAATAGGGTTTTTAAATAATTAAGTACAAAGAAGAAAGAAAAATCCTGACACTCTGGAAGGGTTTTTCTGACACTTGCCAGGTTTGTGAGCAGCAGGAAATCCGAGGCAGAAACCAATGGCCTAGATTCAAAGCCTGGCTCGACAACTGACTCTGCTACCTATGTTTTCTTCTAGGGCCGTGGTCGGCAAACCGCGGCTCTTTGGCCCCTTGAGTGCCACGTGCGGGCACGCACGTAGTGCGACTGAAACTTCATGGCCCATGTGCAGAAGTCGGTTTTCGGCCTGGGCGAGTCTATTTTGAAGAAGTGGCGTTAGAAGAAGTGGGGGTGTCGGTCGGTGGGGAAACGGAAGACGCGGCAGGCCGCGGGACACGCAGCGCGGAGGAGGGCACGCGATTCATGCACGAGTTGAGTGAGCCAGTCAGTCAGCAGTCTCATTGTGCAGTGGTTAGTGCTAGTCGCGTCCGCAAATCGCGCGCAGGTGACAAAAGTACCTACTCGAAGCATAAAGTTACCTGTATTTTTCCAAACAGCTGCAAATCCTACAGGTATTTTTGTCATCAATTTAAGAATTGTAATTATTTTGTGTTGGTGGCTTTATTATTATAAAATGAAACATTTTTTAGGTGCCCTGTTTGAGATGGCTACAAAGAAGAAGCAATGAAAAACAGAAGACGAAAACCGTGAATTTAAAGTTGAATTTAAACTTGAATGTACCTACCTATATAGTTTAAGTTTAAAAAATTTGGCTCTCAAAAGAAATTTCAATCGTTGTAGTGCTGATATTTGGCTCTGTTGACTAATGAGTTTGCCGACCACTGTTCTGCCGGGAGCCGGTCCATCCTTGCTGTTTCAAAGGACCTGGCATATATGGCATACTGTTCTTAATATGTTTGCTCACCTTCTTGGCACTATGTGTTTTAACCAAGGTCTCCTCTCTGAGAAAGGTTGTTTCCCCAGGTAGGGATTTTCCCCTGAAGTTAGGGAGGGAATAAAACCCCTCAACTAAGTGCCAGGCGGGTAATTAATCACTTTAACTATGAACAATCATGCTTAAGCTACATAATCTTTACTCCCTGGAATGGAGATAAGAAACGCCCTAACCTTTGTAATAGAGATTGATAGGATTGAATCAACTGGTATAAATACAGATGTAATAAGACAGAAAGAGACAGAACTTAGAACACAGAACTTAGAACACAGAACTTAGAACACAGAACTTAGAAGACAGAACCCACACAGAACCTAGAGACAGAAGAACTTCGCTGGAGAGAACATGGCAAAAGATCCTGGACAGAAACTGGAGACAGAACCTAGAGACAGAACCTAGCGAGAGAACATGGCTGAAGAACCTAGAGACAGAACCTGGCTACAGAACCTGGATAGAACATGGCAAGAGAACCTGACTAGAACCCAGTGACTGAACCTGGCTGGAGATCCTAGACTGAACCTGGCTGGAGAACCTGGACAGAACCTGGCTGGAGAACCTAGCGAGGGAACATGACTACAGAACCTGGCTGGAGAACCTGGAGAACCTGGAGAACCTGGCTGGAGAACCTAGCAAGAGAACATGGACACAGAACCTGGCTGGAGATCCTAAGCAGAACCTCTCTGGAGATCGAGACCAGAACTTGGCTGGAGATCCTGGCTAGGCTGCTGATCAACTGAACGCTGTCTCCGTGTCATTCCTTCTTCGCCGACTCCATCTACGCCTTTGGGAACCCCTGGACCTGCTGGGGTTGGACCCCGGCACTGTTCCAGGGTAAAGAACCTGAACAGACACTTCTCCTAAAAGGACATACAGATGGCTAATAGACATGAAAAGATGCTCAACATCACAATCATTAGAGAAATTGAAATTAAAATCACAATGAGATATCACCTCACACTTGTTGGGAGGGCTATCATCAATAAACCCACAGTTGGCAAGAATGTGTGGAGAAAAGGGAACCCTTGTGCACTGTTGGTGGGAATGCAATAGACTGGTGCAGCCACTGTGGAAAGCAATATGGGGTTACCTCAAAAAATTAAAAATGAAACTGCTACTTCACCCAGCAATTCCACAGCTGAGAATTATCTGAAGAAACCAGAAACACTAATTCGAAAGGATATATGCACCCCTATGTTCATTGCAGGATTATTTACAAAAGCAAATATCTGGAAACAGCCCAAGTGTCCATCAGTAGATGAGTGATAAAACAGTTGTGATACACTTTACACAATGGAATACTACTGGGCCATCAAAAAGAAGGAAATGGTAGGTAGGTAGGTAGGTAGGTAGATAGATAATACATACATACATACATACATACATACATACATACATACATAAGGAAATCTTGCCCTAGCCGGTTTGGCTCAGTAAATAAGAGCATCGGCCTGCGGACTAAAGAGTCCTAGTTTAATTCTGGTCAAGGGCACATGCCCAGGTTGCAGGCTCGATCCCCAGTGGGGGGCGTGCAAGAGGCAGCTGATCAATGATTCTTTCTCATCATTGATGATTCTGTCTCTCTCTCTCTCCCTTTCCCATCCTCTCTGAAATCAATAAAAATATACACACAAAAAAAGAAGGAAATCTTTTCCTTTGCAACAACATGGATGGACCCGGAGAAAACATTATGCAAAGTGAAATAAGCGAGTCAACGATAAATACCATATGATTTCACTCATATGTGGAATCTAATTAACAAAATGAAGCAAAACAGAGACAGACTCATAGAGAGCAAACTGACATCTTTCAGGGGTGGGGGGAAGGTGGAGGGATTGAGAGGGAAAAAAAGAATTCATGGCACATGGACAATAGTGTGGTGAATGTGGATGGGGGTGAGGGGTGGGAATTGGGGGTAGAAAGACGTGGAGGAGGGGTAAATGGTGATGGACAGAGACGACTTGGGGTGGTGAACACACAATACAGTGTACAGATGATGTGTTGTAGAATTGTGCACCTGAAACCTGAATATTTTGTTAACCACTGTCACCCCAATAAATTTAATAAAAAGGGGGGTGGAAGATATACTATAAAAATATATTTATTCACAATGAAAAATTTTCATATTAATAGTAAAAAGCAGATAAAAATATGCAAGTGCCATTTCTTCAAAATTAGGCTGTTTATACACATAGGAAAATGTTTAACATCAAAACATTAGAAGTAATTTTCTCTGGGTGGTGGAGCTGCAGGGGAAAGTGCATAAAAAATGCATTTTTATTTTTTCCAAAGAGTAAACCATTTACTAAACACTAGTCCTTTGCTTAATGACTTCTGTGCCACACTCCAGCTGTCCCCATTTGTCCTGCTGACCAGCTCTCCTCCAGGGCACCGGCCAGGCTTTCATCACCAACATTCCTCAGCATGCCTAGGTCACAGCACAGCTCACTGTCTCCCCACCTCACTGTTTCTCCTTTTCAAAGCCTGCATGGAGATTCTCACTAAATTATTTCTCCAGATGAATTTAAAACTTTAAGCAGGACCTCATTCAGGCCCAGTATACTGTATATTCATCGCTGGTGATCCCAAGATACTTTATTACTTTTGTTATCATTATGAGATCTATTTTATCCATCTCTACCCACTGGCTCAGTCACCACTCTGATCTCAGCTACTCTCATTTCCCTGCTGCAGGAAAATGAAGAAACCTCTACCTGCTCTTTTTGCCCCTAACTCCCCCGCCCCCCTGCCAGAAAAACAGCTGGAACCATCCCTTAAAAAATATCACATCCCCTTTTAATTATGCCTCTGTTTTCCCATCTGACTCTGAGTGAAAGCCAAATGACAATGACCTTGAGGCCCTAAGCAGCCTGGCCTCCCACCGGCTTTCTACTTCCCAAAACTTTCCCCTAACTGGCTCTGCCAACAACCGCCTTTCCACCAACCCTCTCAGGTGCTCATCAGGAGTCCTTCGCCCAGATCTGTCCATGTGCTCCCTTCCTCACCTCCTGCATGTGTCACCTTCCCTGTGAGGCCTCTGTCTACCTTTTTAAAACTGGAAACCATCACAGACCCCTTTCCTTGTTTTGTTCACATTTATCACATGATTTACTGTTTTATCAAATGCTCCACCCCCACCCCACCTCCAATCAGAATGCAAGCAGTGGTATCTGTGTTGTTTCGGACACGCAGCAGGAATATTTATCAGAAGGAAGGCGTCCCCGTCTCATTTTCTCAGTCAAGTTTTATGTCTCCTCCATTCAGGTTCTACACAGTTGTGAAATTTCCTCCTGGATATTTTGTAATTTTTGTTGCCATTGTGAGGTATTTTCTCCATTGCATTTCCTAATTAGCTACTGCTGCCATACAGCACACTCCAGGTGGTTATATATTTGTTTTATAACTGGCCACTTAAATATCTTTTAATTTCTAATCGTTTTTCAGTTGATTTTGGGGGGTTTTCCAATAAACAATCAAATCATATTTAAGTTATTGTATGTCTCCTTACCTATGGTTCTTATTCTTTCTTGCTTTATTTCAATACAAGAATCTCCAGAACAAAATTAAATACCAAAGGTAATAATGGTAACAAAAGTAATTCTTACGTGCATCTAGAATGCCTCTGTTAGCTCGCCATTAAGTATAATTTTGACTCTTGGTTGGGCTACAGAATCTTTATTATATTCTATTTCCATCAGTAATGGATATCAATTTTTTAAAATAAATACAGAATCTGTTGAGAAAAATAATAAAGTTCTTGACTGACCTATGATAACAAACCCACTAGCAACATTAAATCATCCTTAAGCTATGGACTAAACCTCACTGTTCAGAATATAAGGTTAAATATATTGCCAGATCCTGTGTTTTGAGAACATTTCCATCATTTCCATCATCAATCTACAGCTCCCATTTTGGGGAGTATCTCTGTCAGGCTTTGGTATCCAGATCATAGGTGTTCCCTATTTTCCACAAAAGTTCTAGAACAGTGACTACTATACATGTTCCATGGACAAGTAGAAGCTGTATAACCAATGGCAAGCATGAGATTCTGAAATACTAACTCCATCCACAGTTATTGGTGATTTTTGAATAATGATGATTTGTTTTCCTGAAAAATATGCATTTTGTTGCAAGCACTCCAATTTATTATCATAGATATGATATTCAGTTATTTTTCCACTGAATCTGTGAAATTTAATTATGCCTTTTTTTCTTGGTAAAACTGCTCAGAAGTAGAAACTGACAAGTTAGAAGCTGTATCTACATACGATGTTTTGTTTGACCCACACAGAATGATTTTTTAAAATATGAATAGGTTATCATATTTTAGCATCAAAATCCAGATTTCTGATTCTTCTTAAATTTGTTCTTTTTCCATCCATCCTGCAATAACAGCTTATTCCACTTAGCTTCCTTTCTCTTATTTAATAGGAAGGCACCCACAGGCTTAAACTTGCAACTGGCTTTAGCCACATCCCCTGCTTTTCAGCCTTAACAAGTGGCTAAGATTCAAAGTGCTTTAAGCATTTTACCTGTATTATTTCACTTAACCCCACAAGAATCCAATATAGCTGCTTTTATTACCATTTTACAAGGGAAAAAATTGAAGCACAGAAAAGCTGCTTGCTCAGAATTCAAACTTTTAACCACATACCTATCTATCTTTTCTATAAGTATTTGTAATTAGCTTTTACGTCTTCATTAACCCAAGAGTTTGGTAAGTTTTCTTTTGTTTTCCAAGTAATTTTTACTTCCTATTTTACCATAGTATGGTCAAAAATGTATAGTCAGGCTGGGGGTTTGTGCCTAAAGACTTTGTAATGCTTTTCCTGATGGCCTAATTTGTTCAGTTTAATTTCTATAAATATTGCATAGTCATGGAGTAAGATATACTGAATCAACTTTACTACTCCCATTGTAAATACCTTTCAGATCTTTTGCCGTTTGATCTGCAAATAATGAGTTAAATTAACCACTTCAGATGTTGCTAGGTTTTTATTCATTCAACTCTAGATTTCCATAGGTTTTTACTTTGTATTGTTAGATACTGTAAGCCTTCATATAAATATTCACATAAATGGTCAGAAGTCGCCTAGTATTATATGTGAACAGCAACCAAAAACAGAGACAATCTTCTCTGCCTCATGTGCTCATCTTTAAATTGTATGCTTCCAATGCTAGTAGTATTAACCCTGCTTTGTGATTTCTGCTTGCTTTTCTTTTACTTTCTTATCTTAGTTTTAACCTTCCTAGATATTTCCACCCAGCATGTGCCTCCTCTAGACAAGACATAGTTGGGATTTTGCTCTTTGACTCAGTAAAAAAAAAGTTAGAGGAGCTCTGGCCAGTGTGGTTCAGTTGGTTGAGAATCATCCCATGCACAGAAAGGTCACCAGTTCGATTCCCAGTCAGAGCACATGCCCAAGTTGTGGGTTCGTTCCCGGTCAGTGTGTGTTCGGAGGCAACCAATCAATGTTTCTCTCTCATCAATGTTTCTAACTCTCTATCCCTCTCCCTTCCTCTCTGTAAAAAAATCAATAAAATATATTTTTAAAAAACCAACAAAATAAAATGTCAGAAGAAATAAACACAGTCCCAAGGGTTTTGGAAAAGGGAATGTGGGCCTATATTTACATTCCTCCATCACAAGAGTGCTTTGCAATGACAGTATGTAGGTGGCAAAATGTGAGCTTTTGAACTTAAAGAAAATTCTTCTACTATCTTCACATATGAAGGCTGAATACTTGACAGGTCCCATAGAAGTCTATAGAATGTTTAAAGCACTTTGACCACTATTATAAGATGCTAAGAAACCAGCTCATTATTTTGAAAACTGATAAACAGAAATATTTAGACATTTATTCTGACTTTCCTGTATGAACTGTATCAGGGTAAAAAAAAAAAACAAAAAAAAAAACTGATGAGAAGTTGCTCTTTACAGAAGTATTCTAGCTAGTAATGAGAAAGGAAAGACAGAATATCATCTTTCTGCAACCTCTAATAGATCCAGTCACTGATCATCAACGACTACTAACAACACAGGACAGACCACCTAACGTCAAGACCCCCTGGAAGAGCCCCCCACTGCAAGAGAGTTTCGCTAACCCCCAGCCTACCCCAAGAATCAAACTTCAACCAGATCAAACCTACTGGTGTAATTACTAATTTATAGGAAACATAGAAGACAGGAACCTGTTAAACTACACTATACTGAATACAATCAGCAAACTCCACACTGGCCAAATTCTTCAACAAATACACGGAGAGAGAGAAAAGAAGAAACCTATAGCTATAAAAGAAACTTAAGAAACATGTCAATACACAGTAACATATGAGCCTTATTTAGATTCTGATCCAAACAGTCATAAAAACATTTATGGGATTTGAGACAAAAGTTGAATACTTGCTAGATATTGATGTTAAGGAAATCGTGTTAATTTTTAATGAAGCGATGATAGTATGATTAATATATAGCTATTTTTATTCAGTGTGCCTGAAAAGATATAAAAGATAATGCTGAAATATATTTTTAAAAAATATAAAACCACATGTATAATGCTGCTTTAAAACAATGCAATGGATATAACATGTATTATATTCCTAAATGTTCATAGTATTTTTTTCCCCTCAAGCTGAGATTACCTATCAGGTTAAATAAATTAGTATTTGGTTTTCTTCATCACCTTGCCTAATTATGTGCTGAACTCTTTCATTCTATAGATCACCACCACCATACTTTCTTTTATTATTATCTCTAAAAAGTCCTATTTGGGTACTTTGTGAACTGTATGGTAACCTTCCTCAGTCACAATAAACACTGATATGTACAACATTCCTTATAGGACAATATTTGCTTTAAGAGAACTGATCAAAAGAAAACAGGAAGTTGTTACTATTTTAAAGAAAAAGCCCTATGTTAATAAGTACAGAAAGACATAAAATTATATTGCTAATCCTACATACCTCCTGACATTTTATAAATACATTTTAGATAAATATAAAAGACAAATTATATAAAATAATAATATTAAAAAGAATTCACTGTTACCTTTACAAAAGAATTTACCATAGTTTCCTTTAAGCACTACATCCACTATTCCACTTTCAGGATGGATGGACAAATAGGCACATGAGGCTACAAACTAGCAAGCAGGTCTTGTTGGGTCCACTTAGTGTTATTTAAAAATTCAAAAAGTTGCTGACATTTTAAAATTAGATTTCAACATAAGTTTGAACTGGGTGCCCTTAATGCCTCATGCCACCCAGGGACTGGCTCTGTGGACAGCAGCAGCCGGTCCTCAGCATTTTCTAAGCTCAAAGGCCAGCAGCCATTAAGCATCAGATTTCTACCTCTGTTTTTCTGACACCTGGTCTGCTTTGCTCTTTACTTTGCAGCCTACCTGGTAACAACCACTAATATTCACTCCGTTTTTTTAGGTAAATAAAATATGTCCACACTGATGCTGAGAATTTTGCTAGGAACTCTTTTTTCCTTAAATTCACATAAAACTAAGGAGTTGATGAAAGGGCATTTTGAGCATAAAAGGAACACAAAGAACATAGAAACACCCATTCTATGTGTTTCTTCTGTCCCTAATTCAATCCCAAGGTAACACTCAGAACCCTTACTCCCCCAGCACTGCAGCACACACAGCCTCACCTGCATTGCTCCCAGTTCCTTTCTGCTTTTTTTTCTTGGCTAGTTGAATGGCTCGGGAATCAGTTCTTGCTGAGCCCCCACTTTCCTGAGATCAAAGAAATGTGTGTCAGTCACTTGACCTAAACAGCAAAGGGAGGGTGGCAAAGGAACTAGTGAGATGTAATAACTCAGCTTCCTGAACAGAGTGGAGTCCAATACTCTTTGAGAATCTCCTGCAAAGGCTCACCAAGAATCAAATGCTACATCCAATTATAATGATAGCTACACAAAATCAGAGTTGGAACAATATACATCATTTTATTATCCAGAGAAGCCACGTTTATTCCTCCAAAGTCTAAAATACTAAAATATTTTACACAAACTCTTAAAAAATGAATTACATACTTCTCTGCTGTCTGAAACAAATAACCACCCTTCCTTCAGTGATAATTTACTGCAGCATTAATTCACTCCAACATTGTTCAGAGCCTGCCACACAATACTTGTATGGCAGACGTGGAAGGTCCTATCTCATATACCCACAGCAGAGGCCGCTCTGGCGGCAGGTGCTTAACTCAAAACCTTACATACCAAAATAATAATTAGTTACTGAATTCAGGAAGATTACTGAGGGAGCCAAATAGTATTTAAATGGGACTTCAACTGTTGTAAATTTGTGAATGTTTTTATAAGAAAAAGTTTGTACTTATCACTACAAAAAGAAAAAGAACACCCCTAAACAGCTCATGGCATACCTGTAACCCATTCACCACACACCATCTGTGCTCAGAGAATCGAGGCAGCCCGTCACTCAGCTAGCAAGAAAATGAACAAGGGTCAGGATCATGGTCATGGTGGCTCCTCCTACCTCCACCCACAGTTACTCAGGTAGTGACTCCCCACGCCATCTCCCTTTCTGGCCCAGGCACCTGCACACCTGGCAACTGCTGCAGCCACCAAAGCAGAGGTTAGCACATGTGGCTATGCTCCCACAAGTGAGACACCAGAAGAGGCTTGAGACAGAGCTGCTCTCAGACTCAGACATAAAAAAGCTGGCTCTATGGTATATAAGTTAATCACGTCCCTCAAAATTGATCCTAATTCAAAGGATTAAACATTTTTTTTAAATGTGGTAAAATAAGATTTAACATTTTGAACAATATCACCATCAAATTTAACCTGTGTCACAGAAAAAACCTATTTGATCATTCCCATCTGAGCCTGAGGAAAGTCAGATTCAAAGAATCTTTAAATTATTTTTTAAATTAAATTGTTCAATGTATACCTGACAAATATAATTAAAGTATATTCACTGTCAAGCTTCAATACTGTAGAACTACTCCCAACTTTCCAGAAACAAAGGTTCACAAACCACTCCCTTTCCCCCCCTTAATTCTAGTGTTATTGTTTTTTAATTGTTTTGAGTGATTTTTAAGTTTTCATTAAAATTTTAAAGACAGTTGATGTCATGATTCCTCTTCCTCTAGTTATGAGTAAGTCTAAGGACTTGTTTTGTGAAAAGCACAAAGGCAGGATATTTCAACACTATGAAACACTCCCAATTTTTTAAGAAAAGAAATACATTATCACACAAAGAACTCAAAAGGACCTTAGAAATCATCTAACCAATCCCCCTCATTTTAGAACTGAGAATTTAAGGCTCAGACAGGTCAAGTGATTTGCTCAAGATCGTAAAAATGAAATCAGTTCAGACTCAGGATCAGAATTCAGATTTCCAAACTTGTAGTCCAGGGCTCCATCCTTTTGCAAAGAGTAAGAAATGTCTACACATAAATAATTCATCCAGAACATCCTCAAAATTGAGTGTTTAAGAGAAGCAAGCTAGGTGGTAGTGACTGAAGATAGCACTTCATACCAAAGAGAAGTTGCCAGTCCCTGCACTGAGGCCTGTGTCTTTCTGAGGACTGTGCCTTCCTGGAAGGCTGGAAAACACAGGCCAAGGTACCTCTCTGTTTCGTTCTTGCTGCCTGACAGCACCAGGGCCAGGAGGCGAGTCTGGTTCCACTTTGATTGAAGTCAGCAGTTCTGGGACACTGGTGTTTCCTGGTGGGGTGCTTGAAGAGGTCAGTGTGGTGGTGGTCGCTGGTAAACTGCTGCTGGAGGTCAAAGCCTGTGGGTCCTGACCCAAGTTCTTCACAGGCAGAGCTACCAGACAGCCTAATGCTCCTGCACTTACAGTCTGCACATCATCCATAGTGAAATTGCTTTGCTGAAGAACTGTGGCTGCTGTCCCGAGAACAAGAGGGCTGTCCAGGCTGGGAGGAATGTCATTGTGGGCCACCAAGACCATCGGCCCTAAGGAACTATTATTAGGGAGGTTCCCTCTGAGAGAGGAGCTCACAGAAGTCACATCAATAGTCAGGATTCCAGAGGTCAGCGCCTCGTCCGAGGCCCCTGCTGCACTACTCCCATCAGCAGGTGCATCAGAGAAGAGCGCGGCCAGGTCAATGTTGTTGAGCTCATTTTGGCCTGGGCTGCTTAGTTCACTGCTGAGTGGGAGAGAACTTGGAGCTCCTAGCTGAGGGAAGAGATCTGAAAAGGAATGAACGCACTAGTTACTACATGCCCTTAAAGATTAAGAAGTTTTATTTGTACTCAAGATGTTAAGTAACCCATTAAAGGCACCATCTACTGCCTTCTTCCTGCCCCTGCTTGCGTGGCACATCGAAAATGGCCACATGCTGAACGAAGGCAGCATGATGACACGTCAGGCATTTTACATATGTTGTCTCAAATCCTCAAACTGACAGGGATTTCTCCAGACAGAGGAAGTGACTCGAGTCTAAATAACATTTTCTGAAGTCACATTAATTGGTAACAGGACTTGAACCATGTCATTCTGGCTTTAAATCCTGTACTCCTTCTGCTATACCACAAAAACTACACCTGAAAAGATTAAAACTTTCCATGGCACACCAATCTTCAGAAGTCTGATACAAAGTGAATTCTGGTGCTGAGGATATTTTTGGAATCAGCTTGTATCAGCTCATTCCTCTTCAAACTCTATGCCTCACTCATCAACTAGCTGCCACTCTAAAACAAATTTGAGTCATCTGGGGGTGATCAGTGGTGAAAAATTGGGTCTGTGGGACCCAGCTCTAGGGAGCTGCAGAGAACTGAGATTAGGTCCCCCAGGCACTCTGGAGGTGAATCCCTTCCCCTTCCACCATTGTATTCCCAACTTCTAATACTCATCCACCCACCCCTGCTATGATCATTTTGAGGGTGCAGAGTCTGTCTGACCAACTTTGTCCCTCAACACTGGGCACACTGCCTGGCCCTTAAGCAGCATTTAATAATTATAGTACAAACAATTCCAGTAGATCCCTCTTCATTTTGTCTTATGTACTGGGCCAATACTATATTTGTTATCCAATTAAGTAACTTAAATGATCAGAACACCCTTGAGGGAATAATGAACATTACCATAATTTTTAAAAATTTCAATGAATATTCAAGTTGGGGGTTTATACACAAGTGCACACAATCACCCCAAATCCGAAAACAAGCAAGGACCTGATGTTATTCTTTCTTAAGAAATTCCTACCTGCAGCTTCTAGAATGTGCCAGGGTCTAGCCAGAGGGAAAAGGCTCTCAGTTCCTGGCTCTATTCCTTCCACACCAACCATTAAGCTAATCCCAAACTCATACTTTCTGGTTGTGGACACCACATCAGTGTGCCTATTTTATTTTTCATTCAAATCTATGAAAGAATCTACTCTAGGCGTCTGCCCCCAAAATAAATTTTAAAATAATCAAATTCAGAATATACTTTCTTTAGTTGTCATATTACTTCATAGTTAAAAATAGGATCAATATATTATTGCGTCTTCATTAATTATCTCTTAGTACTAATGAAACATTTGAAAGAAAATGATAGTGATTCTTTGGAGAAATTAAAATAAAAACTTGTCTGTCTCAAAACTTTCCAAAAACTCCCTTGACAATCTTGAGGATTCAGCTCCCTATAAAACGATTAATAATAATCTCAGTGCAAATAGATACTAATTTGTTCATAAATTTCCTACTTAGCATTTTAGTAATTCTAAATATATTTACTGGAGACCTGCTATGTGTAAGAGCTAGGTATTTTACAAAAATCACTAAATAAACATTAATTAATAGAATATCTAGCCTAAGGTTACAATCATGACCTTGCTCCAGTCCTTCTTTGCCTATGTGACCCAGGTAAATCCTTCTCATTTCCACCTCAGCCTCTTTTGTCAGTGACAGAGTAATGCGGAACCACCAATCCTGGGACCACTGTAAGGAAGAACTCAAACAGCTAATCCAGAGACTGCCATAGCCCCTGGCAAATTCAGTCCCTAGTATATAGGCGTTCCAAAGCATCTATTTCTCACAAGGTGTGCACTGAGCCAACACCTGGTCATCTACCCCTAACTTGTGACAGGGAATAATGACACACAAGTAAGTCAATGTCACATCATAAATCGGTGTGGAAAAAAGGCACCACAGAAGCACCTGAGAGGTTCTCACACCCAAAGCAAAAAACAGTGCCGTTGCTGACTTTTGAATGAGCCAGGCTAGGAAAGGGGAAGGAGCAAAGAAGCTGGGCGCATGGTATCACAGAACACCAGCTCAGAGCTGGGCAGGTAGAGACAGAGGCAGGAACCTGTTCTATCACCGAGAGCCTCTGAACACCAGCATAAGGCACTTGACTAGCTTCTGTGAGCCAAGGAGACAATCTCTACCATGAGTCCTCAAGACACCTAGTGTCTAGAAGGGCAGCTTCTTCAAATACAAAGCTGAATAGCAATCACTGTTACAGCCAAAAGAGGGAAGAAATGACCACACTAAATAGGATTAAAAGAAGCCAAAGGACACAAATATTCACTGAACTAAACTACTCATCAAGCTCTGCTCTAGGCACTTTAACTCGACATTTCATTCTGAGAACCACTCAAATTCTGTGTTTAAAAGATGAGGAAACCAGGGCTGACAGACCTGTGCCCTGCTTAGGATCACACAGCTGGGAAGTTGGCTGCACCCCAAGGCTGGTGCTACCTGTCACACAGGTGACAATGAGCAGGGCCTGGTTAACAACATGCTCAGGTAACTCTATGGCTAGCCAGGATTTCACTGGCTAGGACCTGTCAGGCACAGCAACCCCTCCATGCCCCAGAGAGCAGGGTGATGTGAGCAGGGGAGGCAGCCACGTAGCAATCCAGACCCCCCAAAATCCTAACTGTAGGACTGTGCATGTGGCCTCAAGAGGCAGGATTCTAAATTCCATGCCACCATGTAGCCAGATGAACAAGCCCTTGTGCGCCCAGACTCCCCCTCTGGAGAACTGTCATGGTTCTTTCTCAGCCCTCACACCCCTGCCCCAGCCACATCCTGAAACACAATTCTGTTCTTGTTTTCAAGGACTTACCTCAGCAGTAGGATGGAGAAGAGACACAGAGTGTGCTCAGAAAGAAAGATAGGACTTAGAAAAAAGATCCAAAGACAGAAATGGTGGAGAAGCAGGCTTTGAACTTAGGACCGAGATCACAGGGGGATACAGATTTAGGAGACATGTGCAGGAAAAGCCAACAACATGGAATACTGAACACAGGAAAAGGCAGCAACATGGAATACTAAACACTCTTCAAGGTAAGCACTTCAGACAAGGATTAGTGAGGCAGAAGCAAGTGGCAGCAGAGTCCAAAGAGGCCACTAGGCTTGGCAGCCATGCTCCCTGGGCTGGTAAGACCTCACTGCACTATAGAGTAACTTAACCTAGGACTCAGCCAACTTCTGAAAGGAGCTAAGGAAGGAGTGACACCCTTTTGCTTCTCTGACACAGGTCAAGCTTACACATCTTTGTAGCTCCCTAAGAGGGTCATAAATCAAGCCGACCTTGGTGCCGGCTGTGCTGCCTGACCACATGTGCCTTCATACTGTGCTTGGAGGTGAAGAGTCTATTACAGCTGGACACCGGGCAACGGCTTTTTGGAGCAACCACGTCTTGCAGGTGTTTCTTGGAGTGAATGTAGAGACTGCTACGAGCGGAGAACCTGGCACAGCACCCTGGAACAAAACGAATGATAAGTGTTAAATCTATAGATTATCAAGGAACCAATGCTGACATTTCCTCATCATCCTATCTAATAATAGACAAACATGGTAATTAACCATACCTCCGCTACGCTTCCCATTGGCTAATCAGCAGAATATGCAAATTAACTGCCAGCCAAGATGGCGGCCGGCAGCCAGGCAGCTGAAGCGAACAGGAGGCTTGCTTGCTCCAGTGATGGAGGAAGCCAGGTTCCCCGCCTGCCTCGGCCTGCTCTAAGCTACACTCTAAGCAACAAAGTTGCAATTATAGAAGCTAAACAAGCTCCAGATACCTGCTTTCAGCCAGCAACGGCCTCAGAGCTGGAGCTAGGCCTCAAAGCTAGAGCTAGCTCTCAGCTCCAGTGACAGCTATAGAAGGTAAATAAATCCCAGAATAAAAAAAAAGAAAAGAAAAAAAGGAGAGGCTGGGAGCTTCAGTCGCCAGCCAGCCTGAAAACGGCCCTCAGGCCCTCACCTAGACTGGCCAGGCACCCCAGTGAGGACTCCCACCCTGAAGGGGGTGTGACCAGCTGCAAACAGCCATCAGCCCGTCATCCAGGCTGGCCAAGCACCCAAGCGGGACTCCCACCCTGATCAGGGACACCCTTCAGGGCAAACCAGCCGGCCCCCACCCGTGCACCAGGCCTCTATCCTATATAGTAAAAGGGTAATATGCAAACTGACCCTAACAGCAGAAAAACTGGGAATGACTGGTCGCTATGACACACACTGACCACCAGGGGGCAGACACTCAATGCAAGAGCTGCCCTCTGGTGGTCAATGTGCTCTTACAGGAGGGAGCTCTGCTCAGCCACAAGCCAGGCTGATGGCTGCCTGTACAGCAGTGGTGGTGGGAACCCCTCCTGCCTCCTCAGCAGTGCTAAGGTCTGCTCCCTGCTGGCAAGTGGGCATCCCCCGAGGGCTGCCGGGCTGCCAGAGGGATGTCTGATTGCGATCTTAGGCCCAATCCCCCCGGAGAGCAGGCCTAAGCCAGCAAGTGGTCATCCCCCGAGGGGTCCCAGACTGCAAGAGGGCACAGGCCTGGCTGAGGGACCCCTCACCCCGAGTGCACAAATTTTTGTGCACGGGGCCTCTAGTCTATATATATAAAAGCCTAAGCAACTGGTCGCTATGACATGCACTGACCACCAGGGGGCAGTTGCTCAACGCAGGAGTTGCCCCCTGGTGGTCAGTGCGCTCCCACAGTCAACCTCCCCTGGTCCCTCCACTCCTCCCTCCCCCATCGGCCCTGATCAGGACTGGACTGGGAGAGACAGCCCCTATCGGCCCTGAGACCAAAGGATCCCACCCATACATGAATTTGTGCACCGGGCCTCTGGTATCAGAATAATGAGACAATGCATGCCTATGTTTTGGCCACTAGCAAGGGACATACACTGAATACCTCTTGGAGCAGCATCATAAGAAATTAAATTTGAAAGCAAACTCTGTTTTAAAAAGGAGATTTGAAGTTCCACATCATTTGTGTGTAAGATGTGTGACCCTGAACAAGTTAACTCTGATCCTGTTTCATTACCCATTACACAGGGCTGCTGGAAAGATTAAGTTAAATTAAGTGTTAAACAACTCCTTTAATGTTCAAGTGCTAAAAAATTTATACTAATCATCTCTATCAAGCTACTACTAAAAAAACAGCCATAATTCTATGACATTTAAGGTTAGAAGCTATCTCAACAGATCTCTAAGGCCTATTCCTCTCATTTTACTAGTGAGAAGTTGATGCCCAGAGGGACCAAGCAAATGGCCCTAAGTCAGGGACATAAGCCAAGCCTGGAGCTGGCACTCCCTTGCTGGCTACTCAACTGCTTAACCAGTCCGTAAGATCGCAAACCTACATGCAGGTCAGAAGGAAAACAAGACAGATTCAGAGAAACCAAGATGGCGGCATAGGTTAACGCCAGAGAGTGCTGCCTCGAACAACCAATCAAAAATACAGCTAAAAGACAGAACGGACATCATCCAGAACCACAGGAAGGCTGGCTGAGTGGAAATTCTACAACTAGGAGGAAAGAGAATATCATACCCAGACTCAGAGGAGGCGCAGTGCTGAAGTGAAATACTCAGGTGCGAAGTGCGCGCGCGGAGCGGGCTGACGGTGGAGGGCGCGGTTGTTGTTTTCAATCGGGAGGGAGTTTCAGACTCTGAGCTCCAGATCCAGGCGAGTCTCTAGGGACCCAGACTCAAACGGGAGAAGCGGGACTGCCTGGCTTCGGTCGGAACTCGAAGGCAGCTTTCTCTCCAAGGTTTGCAGCGGTTGCTGGGACTCTGTGAGGCAGAGCCCCTAGGGACCGAACTGAGAGCAGCCATAACTGCTCGCTCCGCCCGCCCTGTAGATCCCCAGGGACCCGCCCCGCCCAAGCCCTGCACAGAGCCATTTGCCGGATAGCCTCAGGCAAATGCTAGATTAGCACCACCCTAGAGATCCAGCACAGAAGCTTTCCCACTTCAGACACAGCTGACTCTCAATAGCCAGTTAGCCTGGAGGTCAAATCGCCCCTGGTAACAATCAAGGCTTAACTACAACAAGACTGCGCACAAAGACCACTAGGGGGTGCACCAAGAAAACATAAAAAAATGCGGAGACAAAGAAACAGGACGCAAATGTCAGAAATGGAAGATATAGAGCTCAAAACCACACCTTTAAGGTCTCTCAATAACTGTCTAGAAGCTGCCGATAAACTTAGTAAGGCCCTCGAAAAGACTGAGGAGACCGCCGATAAATGTAGTGAGATCCTCAAGAAATCTAATGAGACCCTCGATGTTGTGATAAAGAACCAACTAGAAATTAAGCATACACTGACTGAAATAAAGAATATTATACAGACACCCAACAGCAGACCAGAGGAGCGCAAGAATCAAGGCAAAGATTCAAAATGCGAAGAAGCAAAAAACACCCAACTGGGAAAGCAAAATTAAAAAAGAATCCGAAAATACGAAGATAGTGTAAGGAGCCTCTGGGACAGCTTCAAGCGTACCAACATCAGAATTATAGGGGTGCCAGAAGATGAGAGAGAGCAAGATATTGAAAACCTATTTGAAGAAATAATGACAGAAAACTTCCCCCACCTGGTGAGAGAACTAGACTTACAGGTCCAGGAAGCGCAGAGAACCCCAAACAAAAGGAACCCAAAGAGGACCACACCAAAATGCCAAGAGCAAAAGACAAAAAGAGAATCTTAAAAGCAGCAAGAGAAAGAAACTCAGTTACCTACAAGGGAATACCCATACGACTGTCAGCTGATTTCTCAACAGAAACTTTGCAGGCCAGAAGGGAATGGCAAGAAATATTCAAAGTGATGAATACCAAGAACCTACAACCAAGATTACTTTATCCAGCAAAGCTATCATTCAGAACTGAAGGTCAGATAAAGAGCTTCACAGATAAGGAAAAGCTAAAGGAGTTCATCACCACCAAACCAGTATTATATGAAATGCTGAAAGGTATCCTTTAAAAAGAGGAAGAAGAAGAAAAAGGTAAAGATACAAATTATGAACAACAAACATGCATCTATCAACAAGTGAATCTAAGAATCAAGTGAACAAATAATCTGGTGATCATAATAGAGTCAGGGACATAGAAAGGGAATGGACTGGCTATTCTTGGGGGGGAAAGGGATGGGAGATGGGGGAAGAGACTGGACAAAAATCGTGCACCTATGGATGAGGACAGTGGGTGGGGAGTGAGGGCGGAGGGTGGGGCAGGAACTGGGAGGAGGGGAGTTATGGGGGGGAAAAAGAGGAACAAATGTAATAATCTGAACAATAAAGATTTAATTTAAAAAAAAAAAAAAAAGACAGATTCAAAAATACAGCCACCTTCCTTCATGCCCTGATTTTCCACTATTGGAGCTCTACACCAACGTTTTATCACAGTCTGAACAAAGAAAACACAAACCTTCTCACTGATGGGGTTCTTGGCAGCTCATGACCTGATAGGGACATGTAAACAACCAGCTGTCCTCACAGCCACCAAATTAAACAGGTAACTAACTAGAGCCACAGATCTAGTAAGTGCACTGCAGGACCAACAGTCAAAACAGGTCTGATTTTGAAGTCTGTTCTTTCCAATACAATGCTCTCAAGATACAGCAATTAACTAAAAACCAAGTAAATCTAATGCTACAACTTATACTCACCTTGCCCTTAGGCAACTAAAACTTACCTTTAAACAGCTAAAAATTACAACATCAATGTGGATATGGTGCTAGTTTACAGCTCAAAATAACATATTAAAATCTACCTTCCACAGGACACTCGAACGGCTTTGTGCCCAGGTGGGTGATGCTGTGGCCTTTCAGATGCTCTGCTCTCGTGAATGACTTCCCACAGCCTTCCACAGGACAGATAAACCTCCGATCGTCATCGTGTTTCCTGCCAGGACAGAAAAACATGACACGGATTACTCACACAGCCCAGAGGCACCAGGCCTCAAAGGTGATTCTTTGATTAAAATTCTGCAAAATATACCAAACTACAAATGCTTTGCATTTAAAAAAAAAAAAACTTTTATCAGTACATTTCAGAGAACCTTAATTGTGTCTCTAGCCCACATGGGCAGATTTGCAATTTAGCCACCCTGTAATTAGAAATTCTACTTTACTTTAATGACCTAGCCGAGTCAGACACAGAAAAATCAGTGCTGCTTCAATCTAGAAAGAGCTGAGTCTCAATGTACTGATAAAGCTACCTCCAGTTTAAGAATCCCAATAATAAACAAGCTTCCCAATCCACAGAGGGCAACAAGAAGTGTGCACAGAAAATCCACTAAAAGGCGAAAGGACCTTCTCAAGCCCATGCATAAACACTGTCTTTTTCTGAGTAACATATGTATATTAAACACTCAAAACTCCAGCTATGCAAGCATGGACAAACTGCCCAACCTCTTGAGTCCCACTGCGAAACAGAGAGCAAGAACATCAGAGTCAGAGTTCTTGGGAAGATTACATGAAATACACAGAAGTGCTAAACAACACCTTTTATAGGCTAAGCCCTCCAAGGTCGTCATTATCACCATGGAAAGTTTGTATTGACATGAGGAAAACTTATTCCACACCATAATTTTCTTAAAAGTATAGAATTGTACACAACAGGTACCAATTAAATTTAAGAACAAGTATACAAAGAAAAAAACTTTGGGTGACTTTGGGTGATCAGGATTCTCAGTGTTTTCCTTCTTAAAGCTTTCTGAACTTCCAAATTATCTACACGGGGCTTTCCTTATAACTTAAAGAAATCTGAAATAGTTTATCCATAGGCTTCTGCTACTAAGAAATAATTCATTCATTTTCAAAACTTGTAATTCAACCAAAATGTATAAATTACCTTTTGTGCCTCAGGAGTTTAGACATGCTGGTAAAGGTCCAGCCACAACTGTCAGAGTCACAAATAAAAGGTCTTTCACCTTAGAAAAGAAAAAGTTACACCAAGTAATTATAAATACAAGCTACTACAAAGACAGATCTTGGATCCAAATTACATTGCATTCCCTAGCTCATTACCTGTATGACTTCTCAGGTGAATTTTCAGGCGACAGGCTTTGTCATACTGTTTGCTGCAACCAGGAAAGGAGCAGGAAAAGAGTTCCTGTTCTCTGAAGTGGGCTCGGTTATGGGAAAACAGAGCACTCACCGTGATGAAGGTCTTCTCACAGCCTGAACAAAGAAAACACAAACCTGCTCACTGGTGTGGTAAAATCACAGAAGACAGCTACACTAGCCACCATCCAGGACACTGCTGGCACTGAAGCAGACGAGGGAAAAAATGATTCAAAAGCACCTCTGGAAAGTTACTACCATTGACATCTGGCTTTGCAGTAGCTAAAGTAGGATTGGCTAAGAGTAGCCAACAAGCACACGAAAGCCACCTGTTTTAAAATGACTTAGAGATGAAGGCTCTGATCAAGGGAAAGTCCTCCAATCGCAGCCATCTGCTCCATTCTGTGGCACAGGTCTTACATACATTTTGAGAACTCAAATGTCAATGCGGTCGGTGTGAAATCCAAGAAAATCCAATGGGAGAAATTAGATACTAAGGAACAAGATTTTGTCTGTTAGGGTTGGGCTTGGAAGGGCCACAAACCATCGTAATATCTGAGACCTTCAAGCCCTTGGGGTGATGCTGCATCCTCTACACATATGTCGTCCCTGATATCCTCTGCAACAGGCAGCCCCCACCTGTCATCTGGCTTCTCCTCCTCCTTTTGCCCATTTCCTCAAGGCTCCCTACTCTGTCAAAGGAGGTTACTGGAGTCATCTTCATTCACATCGTCTTTCCCATCACCTCCATCCTCAGCCCCCAGTTGAGCCACCATCCAAAGGAGCCTGCCTGAGCAACTCCCAGACTTTCCACACCAATTGTTATCCTTTGACAAAAACACCCAGTGCTCCAATAGGGTGGAAAATATCAGGCTGCAAGATGCCTATCAAGTGTCTTCATAGCAGCTCTTCTCAGAGCCTTTAACATGCTACCACAGTGCCTGTAAGCCACCCAGCAGATACATGCTGCATAGCACCACACAAAAGTACTGGCCCAAAGAACCCTGTCCCTGGCAACACTGAACTGGGAAAATCGACCTCTCTAAATGCCCTAAATTATACTCTTTGCCATAAATCTACTCTTCCCCAGTTCCCTTCCTTTCCCTGTTTTGGGCTTTGGTGAAGTCATACACTTGTTCAGATAAATCGAAGCAAACTAAATCTGTGCCTCCATAGAACAAACCCCCATCGACAAACCAGCCCTTTATTCTGCCTCTGCATCTGGCGCCCCCTCACCATTCCCACTGCCTCTGCCTAGGGCAGCCCTAAGGAAACTCAACCTGGAACATTTCACTGATCCCTCTCCTGCTTCTACCCCATCTCAAACACTGACACCCCACATATCATTGAGCTCAAAACTTCAGGAAGACCTCCTGGCCTAAAGCAGGCTAGACCCCTGATTTTCCTAGTAGTAGTATACTCAGAATCATGCCCTCTGTGCAGTCTTTAAGCCACAGTAGATTCCCAGAGTGTATGACAGAAAAAGGTTTCCAATCAGTGGCCTGAAGCCACGTCCTCCAGGAAGAGGGCCACATGAAACCATCTACAGCACATGGGAGGGAAAATCTAGAACCTGCTGGCATTTTGCATTTCACTCTTCCAAGCTCTCTATACTTGAGTATATTTTATATTTTACATTAGGAGAGCATCGAATGTGTGATACACGTCAACATACCCATGGGACTCACGCTAGGTGCGTGCTTGCCTTTCTGTTTTAATGAGTTGGTGGTGGAAGGTCCTTCACCCTCTGCTTGGCCCTCCCACACCCTCCCCAGCCCACATGTCCTGCCTCGGCCCTGCAGCTTTTCCCACCAGCAATGCCTCCTACCCTACTTCCCCAGGCCAGCTCCTTCCTAGGAAGGAATTTTCTCTTCCCTGGGGCACTCTCTCTCAGAGCACCTACACCGCCAACCCCGGAATTCAAGAATTCACGGTATGGAAGCCTTATCTCCCCGCCACTGCAGGCAATCACTGCGGACAAAGAACCACCACCGGATTTCTCTTCCACCTTGCTCGGCCTCAGTCACTTCATCTGTCACAGGAGGATAATTTCAAGAACTTGACAAAACTGTGAAGTCCAGAGAATAGTATAAAAGGCACAGAATCGCCCTAACTGGTTTGGCTCAGTGGATAGAGCATCAGCCTGCGGACTGAAGGGTCCCAGGTTTGATTCTGGTCAAGGAATCATGTACCTGGGTTGCGGGCACATCCCCAGTGGGGAGTGTGCAGGAGGCAGCTGATCAATGTTTCTCTCTCATCGATGTTTCTAACTCTCTATCCCTCTGCCTTCCTCTCTGTAAAGAATCAATAATATATGTGTGTGTGTGTGTGTGTGTGTGTGTGTGTATTTATTTATTTATTTACTTATTTATTTATTTATTTTTAAAGGCACAGAATCTGTGCTACACCATCTTAAGGCCTTACATCTGGACAGCTCCACCAATTGGTGTGCCCCACGAATATCTGAGTGAATGTTTCTAAATGAGGAGACGGAGGAAAACAAAGACCTGTCTCCTAACAAAACTCTGGGAAGACGCGTTCTCTCTTTCACTAACCAGAAGCACCTTCAGAGCCATCTGCTGCCGCCACCCTGGGGAAGGACAACTGTGATCCCCTGTGCGAGCTCGCGGTCCTGATCCCCACGGCCAGGCAGGGGGTCAGGTGCCCCGGGAACAGCTAGGACACACACACCCAGCACGGGAGCGCTCCCGTCCCCGCCCCTCGCACCTGGCCCACCGAGTGTACACCCTGCCCGGCCCCGCCACCACACCCACTCGGAGCAACTGGAGGTGGCCCTGGGGCCCGGGCGCCCGCCACCCCCCGCAGCCGCCCGCAGGCCCCGGGTTACCCGGAAAGTCACACTTGTAGGGCCGCTCGGGCTCGAAGTGGCTGCGCTGGTGAGAGCTGAGCTTGGCCTGCGTGGGGAAGCGCTCCGTGCACACCTCGCACTTGAACAAGTTCTCCTGCTCGTGGCCCTTCATGTGCGCCTTGAGGTTGTACACGGTGGTGAACTTCTTGCCGCAGCCGCCCACCGGGCAGCCGAAGGGCCGCAGCTTGTCGTGCGACTGCAGGTGCCGCTTGAGCTTGTAGGAGGTGGTGAAGGCCCAGCCGCAGCCGTCCAGCGGGCACTTGAAGGGCCGGCGGCCCTGGCTGCTGCCGTGCGTCAGCAGGTGCACCTTCAGCTGGTGCTTCTTGGCGAAGGAGAGCGAGCACTGCGGCTCGGGGCAGCGGTAGCCGAGCGCGCCGGGACCCAGGGCCCCGCGGCGGCCCTCGGCCGGGCTCGCGGCCTCCTCCCGCGGCGGCGCGGGCGGGCCCGGGGGCGGCGGCCCCTGCGGCGGCGGGTCGGGGGGCGACGGCTGCGAGGCCAGGGTGAGGACGCCGCGGTCCAGGCGCACCAGTAAGTCCTGGCCGCCGACGGCGACGGTGTCCCCGAGGGCCGCCGCGCCAGGGCCGGGGGCGGCGCCGCTGGAGCCCGGCTGCGGCCGGCCGGCAGGACTCGCGTCGGCGCCGGGCTCAGCCTCCAGCCGCCCGGAGGCCTCGGTCGCGGCGCCGCGCGGCACTTCCAGAAGCACCACGAAGGAGTCGTCGTCGTCGTCGTCCTCGAGGGGCGGCGGGCTCGGCCCGGGACCCGCCGCCGCCGCCCCGGCCTCCCCTCGCCGCGGCTCCGACCCGCCATCTTCGGGTCCCCGCAGTAGCAGCAGGCGGCGGCGCGCGGGGCCCTGGCTGGGGGGCGGGCCTGGGCCTCGGCGGAGTCGGCCGGGGCCGCCGCCATGTTGGGCCCCGCGCGGGGTCGGGATCGGGGCAGCGACCAGCGCCGGGAGATCCATCTTGGACCCTGCAGAGGCGTCGCAGCCGCCGCTCGGAGGAAGCGCGACCCGCCCCGCCCAGCCGTGCGCGACGCCGTGCGGCTGCCTCGGAGAGTCGGCGCCAAAGCCCGGCGCGGAGCAGGACCGAGCGCGCGTGCGCGTGAGCCCCGCGGGGCGGGGCGGGGTGGGGCGGGGCGTGCGGCCCCCTGGCACGTGACGTCAGGGACAGCCCCGCACGGCCCCCGGGGAGCTGGGCTGGTCCTCTGCCTCCGAGCTGTGGTTTGAGCGCTCCCGGGAACGAGGCTAGCCTGATTTACGGCAATCCCCTTTCATCTGGGGAATGGGTTAGTCATTGGGGACCAAGCCGGGCACCCTGGCGTGTGCCCTCACCGGGAATTGAACCGTGACCCCCTGGTTCATGGGTCCACGCTCAGCCCACTGAGCCACACCGGCCCGGCTCGCCCCCTTTGCCTTGCCTCATTGATTAAGCTGTGACATCTCATCTTCCTTGCTCTGGAACTAGGATTTACACAATCAGCTTCCCTGGTTCCGAGTCCTTCAGACTCAGGCTGAATCACATCAATGGCTTTCCTGGGTTTCCAACTTGAGGGGACTGCCGTGTTATATTTATCATTTACGTATATCTATCTATACATACCTGTATAATTATATATGCACTAGAGGCCTGATGCACAAAAATGTGTGCACTCGGGGGGAGGGGGGGTCCCTCAGCCCGGCCTGTGCCCTCTCGCAGTCTGGGACCCCTTGGGAGATAACGCCCTGCTGGCTTAGGCCTGCTCCCAGGTGGCAGAGGGCAGGCCCAATCCCTAGGTGCAGCCCCTGGTCGGGCTCAGAGCAGGGCCGATTGGGGAGTTGGGACGCCACCCCCTGTCATGCACAGAGCAGGGCGGATTGGGATGTTGCGATGCCACCCTCAGTCACGCTCAGGGTAGGGCCGATTGGGGGGTTGGGGCACCGCCCCCTGTCACACTCAAGGCAGGGTCGATGGGGAGGTTGCGGCGCCACCCCCTGTCACGCACAGAGCAGGGCCAATCAGGGGGGTTGGGGCTCCTTACCCTGTCACGCACAGAGCAGGGCCCATCAGCGGGTTGGGGAGCTCCCCCCTGTCACGCACAGAGCAGGGCCCATCAGGGGGTTGAGGAGCTCCCCCCTGTCACTCAGAGAGTAGGGCCGATAGGGGAGTTGGGGCGCCGCCACTGTCACACTCGGGGCAGGGCCAATGGGGAGGTTATGGCTCTACCCCATCACACACAGAGCAGGGCCTGTGGGGTGGGGGTGGGGGACGGGGTTGGGCGCCACACCCTGTCACACACAGAGCCGCAGGGCAATCAGGGGTTTGGGGAGCTCCCCCGTATCAGGCACAGAGCAGGGCTGATCAGGGGGTTGGGGCACCTTCCCCTGTCACGAACAGAGCAGGGCGGATAGGGAGGTTGTGGCCCCACCCCCTGTCACACACAGAGCCGCAGGGCGATCAGGGGGTTTGGGCGCTGCCCCCTGTCACGCTGATCCCAGTGCTGGGAGGCATATTACCCTTTTACTATATAGGATAGAGGCCTGGTGCATGGGTGGGGGCCGGCTGGTTTGCCCTGAAGGGTGTCCTGGATCAGGGTGGGGGTCCCCACTGGGGTGCCTGGCCAGCCTGGGTGAGGGGATGATGGCTGTTTGCAGCTGGTCACACCCCCTTCAGGTGGGAGTCCCCACTGGGGTGCCTGGCCAGTCTGGGTGAGGGGCTGAGGGCTGAAGCTCCCAACTGCTCCTTTTTTTCTTTTTTTTTTTATTCTGGGCCTGCTTTAGCTCTGGCTCCAGCTCTGAGGCCTCTGCTGCTAAAAGCAGGTATCTGGTTTGTTTGGGTTCTATAATCGAAACAATGTATAACTCCAGCTCTGAGATCCGGGCTTGCTGAAAGCAGGTTTCTGGGGTTTTGTTTAGCTTCTATATTTGTTACAATGTTTCAAACTGCAGGCTCAGAGGCCGGCAAGGCAGGCGGGGAACGTTGGTTTCCTCCATCACTGAAGCAAGCAAGCCTCATGTTAGTTTCAAGCTGCCTGGCTGCCGGCCGCCATCTTGGCTGGCAGTTAATTTGCATATCGCCCTGATTAGCCAATGGGAAAGGTAGCGGTCGTACGCTAATTACCATGTTTCTCTTTTATTAGATAGGATAGATAGATATACCCCCTATTGGTTCTGTTTCTCTGGAGAATCTAATACATAGATTCAAGTCCCAATAGAAACCGTGCAGGTGTGTACAAAATCAGCTGCTCACGCCCAAGAACGGCAAGCACATTTGGCTTGGCTATTAGAGTGCAGTAGGAAATAGTAGGGACTGTAGCAAATTGGAAAAAACAGGCCAGCCCCATGAGGCCCCCAGCTGATTGCTGTCACTGAGGCAGTGAGGGTACAGTGTTGCCTGATCTATTCATTTGTTCAAGTAAATGCAAAATCTAAAGTTTTAAGTGAAATCTCCTAATTTGTAAAAATTGGTGATAATGTAAAAATATATATATATTTTAAAGGGCAGGCCAAACAAAATGCAACTGCAAGTCCAGTTCCCAGCCTCCAGCATAGGCATCTATTCTGGAAGGCCAAGGGCAAGAGAGCATACCGCTCAGCCAAGACCTCCTCAACTGGCCATGGCGGGCCAGCAAGTAAAGCATCTGGTTCCCAGGAGCTCCAGGTTCACAGGAAGCAGAGACTGCACAGGGAGAGAATTTTCAAGGCAACTAAAGCCTACACCCATTATAGCCAACTTGTTTCTATTTTGTTTTTGTTTGTTTGTTTGTTTTGCTTTTGTTAATCCACACCTGAGGCTATTTTTGTTGACAAAATGGAGTCCTTTAGAGAGAGTGGAAGGCAGGGAGGGAGGGGGAGAGAGAAAAACATCTATGTGAGAGAGAAACATCTATTGGTTGCCTAGGGCACACACCTGGATCAAACCTGCAGCCCAGGTTCCTACCCTTGACTAGGAATCAAACCCGAAACCCTTTGGTTCCCAGGCCAATGCTCCAACCACTGAGCACCGGCCAAGGCATGATAGAAACATTTCTAAGTGGACTGCACATTTCTGCTATTAAAGAAAAACCTTCACTGCTGAAAGCTTTTGTGAAAGAAAGGGTTTATTGAGACATATGCTAGCCAGAAAAAGGACTACCACATCCTGGGTATGCAGTTTAAACCACCAGCAGCAGGGCTAGATGGGGAAGACGAACATATCTACTATCCTGTAGCTGCCCGAGCTCTTTCGCAGAAGTTGTTTTGAAAGAAGTTTACATTAGCTATAGACAAGAGGGTGGGCAGGAAAAGGTGGAGCAGGGACAGTTCTAGGAGAGGTGCACAGTCCATAAGGAAAAAAGATTTACTGCTTTTGATTGATTGTGGGCAACAGTCTAGAAAGTTCCTGCATAAGCAGGATGTCGTGGCATCTGATGGTCAGCTGTTTCTTTTTAAACAACCACCTGGAAGTTGATTCAAAGTTCCAGCAACATTCAGCGATACAAGCAGCCTTTTGTTAGTTGGCCCACAGCTATTAGCTGGTTAATTACCCTTGTCTCTATACCAACTATAATTTAATTTAGGACTCAGAGTTTTTTTCTTGTCACTACTTTCTTAAAAATAAGACTGAACTGGACACATGGGACATCCATGCTGTTCTACCCACTCCATGGTTACTGAGGCTGTGGTCAGTTGCCCTAAACCCCCACTGAGTCCCAGGGTGGCCGAATTCTGGACGTCAGTAGTCCCTTCTCCCTGCTGGCAGCTGGCTGCAGGCTGATGGGCTTGTGCCCAGCGAAGTAGCCTGCTCCCTGGCATGGCTTGGGATGGAGCCAAGAGGGGTTCTGAGGCCTTTGCATGTGGGTAGAAGCCATCTTTGAACTTGGCCCAAAGCCGGCCATCGAGCCCTGCCTGTCCTTAATAAGGTGCTAGGTGGGAAGAGGAGGGCCTGGTCTCAAAATCGAACATATCTTCTCCATGTTTCCCTAGGGACAGGGGATGCTCAGGCAGCTGTATGAGACAGGGGGCTTGCCAAGGAGACTTGTTGACAGACGCTGTGCTGGTTTAGATGCTGTGCTTGCTGTGTGGGAACCAAAGCCCTGCTGGGATGACTTTAACAGCCGAGGACCAAGGAGTCTGGAGAGGGACAGGCCCATGCTGGAAGAGCAGCACCATGTGCTGCCAAGAGCACAGGCTCCTGTGCCTTCCCACGTGCACCCTGCCTATGCCTCTGTGAACCTCATGGTCACAGAATGGTTGCTGTACGTCAGCATCACACCTGAGGAGGAAGGGGCAAAGGCAAAAAGCAATCCAGCTGCATCTCTACATTTCTATTAGGAAAAAACAGCTTTCCCAGAAGTCCTACCCGGCATCCTTCTACCTCATTTCATGGGCCAGAATGAGGCCAGAGGTCACTCACTCCCAGTTGCAAGAAAGACTGGAAAATCAACTATTTTTACTGGGTATATTGCTGCCCAGACAATATTGGGATTCTGTAAAACTGAAAACTCAGAATCCAGCCAGACTGGCTCCCTCTCTGCAGACATGGAAGGGGAGGGGTGAAAAGTTTTCTGTGGCTGTTTGGAAACCCATACCCCAATCTCTTTCTTAATTCTTGGTTTAGGATGAGCCATTTTTAAGTCTGTAATGGGCCCTACAGGGGGCTAAGGCCAGAAACTAATGAGAATAAGGTATGTGGTCAAAGCTGCTCTGCTTAGCATAGCAAGGTCACAGGGGTCTCCTAGTGCAGAGAGCCAGCAAGCGCGGTGCCACCGAGGGGGCCTGCTCTGGGGCCGTGTCTCCCTGATTACCTGCATGGCCCTGGATCAGTGGTTCTCAACCTTCTGGCCCTTTAAGTGCAGTTCCTCATGTTGTGACCCAACCATAAAATTATTTTCATTGCTACTTCATCACTGTAATGTGGCTACTGTTATGAATCGTAATGTAAATATCTGATATGCAGGATGGTCTTAGGCGACCCCTGTGAAAGGGTCATTCAACCGCCAAAGGGGTCGTGACCCACAGGTTGAGAACCGCTGCCCTGGATGTTTACAGGAAAGGGAACAAGTCCCGATTACCAGTCTGTGGGGCAGGAAGGATGAAAGACGAGGAACAGGGAGC